AAGATAATTTAACCATTGTAAACCTTAACGAGGTCAGAGACAATACTTGACTACTACCACTGTGGTGAACATAACATTCGACATACTTCAGCTTATTGAAACTATCGTATCGTGATTCGATACGATTAATGATCTTACGCTTGACGCTGTTATCTACCCATTGCTGAACATAGGCCTTCCTTATAAGGTCGGCATTTTGCCAATAGTTGCCACGCTTGGCAGGCGGCTTGGCAATCGTAGTTAGGCTTTAGTGATGTTTTAAGAGAGACGCTACTTCTCATGCCTCGATCATCTTGCCATTTTAAGTTGTATAAAAAAATATTAATTCCTTCAGTCGCCTTTTACAATACTCATAGCATACGACATATTAACGTTCACTCCATTGAAGTAAGTTAAAAATAAATAATTTTACAGTACGACATATGAGTTTAATTCGTTCCGTAACCTTGTTCGTATGTCAAATTGCTAGTATCTCAAAGCAATTTTCCCCATTGAAATTAATTGAAATGCCATTAATTCGTACTCCCATAAAAGCACCTCAGTTATTTTTGTTAAGTGTTAGCCTGAGGTGAGAGAAACTGTTAGACACCAAAATCCAGCTCGCATGTTGGGCTCGTGTGCAGCGGTGTAGTGTGCGGTTCCTCGTATCTTAAATCTTGCTCTCATCTCGAAGCAATAATCAGTCGCTCGTATCTCAAAACACTCGTATATTAGGGTACTCGTATATCGAGGTACCACTATATTTACATGTGGCGTTAGCCTCGCTCCTGCAGACTCTAAACATAATACATTGGTAGATATGCGTGCCATAATATGAACATGTCAAGTGTTCTGTTCTTAGTTACAGTAACACGCGATAACAGTCGATGCCTCCGACTATTATTCCCTACCTTTCTTGCTATAAATATATCTTGTAGTGATATTAAACTATCATAAAATCATGTATAAACTACAAGAAGAGGAGACGGCGGGCGCCGGGCGCCGGGCGCCGGGCGTCTACAGCTCAGTCTGTTAACTACATTTTAATCATGTAACACATTAGAGTATCTAAATATGCATTCAGGGTCATCACTTGCAAACTGCATAAAAATGAACAACTTACATCAAGCCAGTACAACATGTAAACCTTGATCGTGAGACATTTCCCATTTATTGGCTTGTAAAAAAAATGAATGACCATTTCAAGTTGGGAATTGTTTTCAACCGATTTCAAAAAGAATTTCTCGATTCGGTTGTATTTTTTTAGGTTTATGGAGATACTATCTATATAATCTAAGATAAACACATATACCTACATATTCTATGCAAAATGAAGAATCTAAGAACAGTCGAGCAATTTTTCTAATATTTTTAATAAATTAAGAACCTGAAGTGACTTTTAGTATACGTTTACCTGTTTAATTTTATCCGTGTAATGTTTTTTTGTATGTATTTTACAAAATCAATTAATGATATCTACGACGTTTAAATGCATCATTTAAATATTTTTATGCGAGTACTTTTAATGCTTTATTTGGCGTATACTAAAGTAAACTTCTGTAGCACAGGTACAGAGGGATACATTGCGAAATAAGCTCTTGGATTTGACTCTCGATTTAGAAATGTTTTTCTGTTTTTATATTTTTAAAATGGCTATATTGTTGATTGACGATAGCCCGAAGGTGTGAACCCTACGCGACATCCGTCACGGTGGCAGCGATGCGCCGCCCCCGGCTAACAACCCGTGATAAAGCCATAAACAGTTTAACGAGCACTTAATCCCTGATTATCATCGGCTCGATTTAAATGTACTCTGAAACATTCGTGTTTTATCGCCTGCCGACCGACTTATCAGCCGAGCGCTCACCTGTTCAAACATTCACTGTTCACTGTGGATTTGTTATTGACGCTGCGTTGTAGCTCATTAACGATTCAATATCAAAGTTATATCCATTATAGATTATTACATCCTTTTCCTTTAATTGTATGATTCACCTTTGCTTCCTTGCTCTATTTTTAATCGACTTCAAAAAAGAAGTTTTTATGTTTGACTGTATTTTTTTATGTATGTCCACCGATTTCTCCGTCAATTGTGAACAGATTTAAAAAATTCCGTTTTTTGCTGGAATTTTTGTTATACTAAAGCCATTGGTATTTGATAGGCTACTACGCCCCGCCTCGCGAAGTGGTTGATCTTGACTATTATCAAAATATGTAGGTATTTCATTAAGATTATGTTTCCTTATTAATTTTTGTTTTCGTTCATGTTCTATTTGTGCTTGGCGCCGAGTTCAAACAGATCTGTAGGTAGCACATGTTATGTTTTTTATATTTTATTTAAGTTAATAAATAATAGATTTATTAATAGGTAAACAGTTTATTTATTGCTTTTTAGTGAGTTATTCTTGTTTTTGAATTATTTTTCCTTACGAGTAAAATAGCTTATATTTTTTTAAAAAAGATCTACATTCTGTTTTTGATGACAAAATATCCATTCTACAAACAATCTTTTAATATGAAATATAAAACATTTAATATTTATCGATATAAAATCACTGGTTCATTGACTTCTGTGATGGAGATTAGAGAAATAGTTGCCGATTATAATTAAGGTACTTAGATTCGATCTCGGTCAGTTTTCTAAATTGATTTAGAGCTCGACTAAGATATTGCGAACTGTGTCCCGTGTCTAATGTTCATTGCTTCGATTCTTATAACATAGAGTTTCGTAGCTCGAGGACTGAGCAATTTTGTGGCACTAAAATCCTTACAGTGAATTAGTTTATTTGTTACGTTATAACTGCTAAACGGCGTAACCAAACACTATGAAATATGCATACACTGCATGAGATGGAGTAGAAAATAGCCTATATATGTTATATACTTTTTATCCCGGTTTATAAACATGTCCCGGTCACACGGACGAAGACGCGGGTAAAAGCTAGAAATATTTCAACTTTTCATTTTACATAACTGCCTAACTATAATGCGTGTACTACTACGGGTATAATGTTGTTATTCTAAGTTTAATTCAGGTAATTGTAAGTATTAGCGATGTCATGTGCATTTAGTTAAATCTTATTATCTGTGAACACTTGTAACTGGCTCTTGCCTTATTTTTTCTTTAATACAAAATAATTTAATAAATATGTATATATATACATATATAAACCCAGTGGTAATCCGAAATGTTTACTTTAAAACTGTGCAATAAAAACGCACGTGTCGTTGTGTTTTGGTTCAAAAGATAAGAAAACCAATATTTATCTCAAGAGGCTTGTCATGTTGTATAAGAAGCGCTATCGTCACAGAATATCTAATGTATGACGTCCAGTGTGTTATCGGCGAATGTAAATGGCTTCGCACTCTTTGCGGCTAAAGTAATTCATGAAAAAGTATGAATACGATGGATGTGAATTAACGATTTAATGAATAGACTAACCTGAATATAGACCATATTCGGGCTAGTCCAAACAGAGATGATACATAAATAAATATAAATTATTTAGTAACCTATTAATATAGAGGCCAGGCACGTGTCTGTGATTCATAATGTATTACCTACGATAGCATATATATAGGTACACGCACAAGTTCTAGAAAAAAATCTTCCATGTCTCGAGCACAACGTTGATATTTCATCAGCCGCTCGCCGCCATTCCAGATCGGAACCGGCCGACCGTACGCATCTGCAGCTTGGTGCCACCAACTTTGGGATCCCTCGAACTATGGAGCCTTATGTTGCAACCTCACAAAGGCACAATGCACCAGTTAAAACAACTGCATTATACTATGTAAAAAAAAAACTACTTAACCCTGACAAAATGCATTATTCGTAGCCATATTTGATTAGAAATATTTGAATTTACACAAACGTGGATTATAGATTCATATCTTTGTTTATGCATGCAGTGCAGTAAGAAAATTGTTTATTTATTAAGAATTTTAATAATTGTTAATTTACTAGATTAATATGTCGCCCCACCATTTTTATCTCAATTTCCTATATTTGCATTTAGTTTATATGATAATCTTTATTTTTTAATTTTGTCAGTTCCAAGTCAGTTAAAATATATTTCTCTACTAACCTCGACGTCTGATTCAACCCGCAACATAGATTTACAAGAATTTTCCTCCGCTAAAAAGTGTAAGTTTATTAGTCATATATATGAAAGTATTTATCATATGACTACTCTAAAGATAAAAATTTGAAAATCGGTTCAGAGTTCGCAACGTTATCGCCCAACAAAGCTATAAAAAACTACAGTGAATTGAAAACCACCTTATTTTGGAAATCGTATAAAAATTAACACAAACATTTTCCATCATACAGAGCCAGTAGTAGTAGTCCATGAAACTAAACATCATTTCGAGGAAAAAGGAAATCATGTATTCACCGAGGCATGAATGTGACCTGTTACGTTTGGATTCAAATAACACAAAAAGTAGGGAATTGTATATATTATACAATTGTTGAAAGTCCTGAATAATATTTGTATGTACCTAGTTTACAAGTAAAAAAATCGCGCTTACTTGTAAATGTTGTCAAATATTGAGTATTTAAATGCATACTCAATATTCGAACTCCAAACTCTAACACTAGCAACAGCTTCAGCAGAATCTGTATTTCATCGTTTAACTACTTAGGAGGAAAACCACAGAACTTACAATGAGGGAGGCCCGTTCCGTTGGCCTCGCACCTCGGCAGGCGTCCCACATTCCCGCGTCGACGTAAATAATGCAGATTATTACGGAGCCACGAAGTAAATCCTCCGCCGCTAATTAAGATGTTTTCCTCGAGCTCGTCCGCCGCCTCGTCATTTAAAAAAGCCTATTTTTCATTGTCATTTTAAGGGGATGATAAAATTCGTGCAAAGAAATTTTTAGTTGGGCAAGTCATTACTGACAATCGCCGACACCGCTTCATCGGTCATTTGGTATTTGGACGCCACCTCGGACGGACGCCTCTCCGTCTTCTTCCTATTACATAATTAATTAATAATAAAAGACAATGTCTGCTGATTCATGTTTTTTATTCAGAAATTCAAGTTTAACGTTAGTTTATATAAATTCATTCGCTAGCGTAATGTCTAAACAACCTGCTTACAAATCCAGTCTTCGGGCCTGTCGAATCCGCTGCGGGCTCGCGTCTCGCGCCTCACGCGGCGCTGTCTCACGGTGGAGATTATCGTGGAATACGAAATAACACACAATATACAGGAACAATCATAGCGGGTACACTGAGCTGAAACCCAGTGATAATATCCACGAAACTAAATAATCGCCGGGAAATTCAGTCGAATTCTTCAAATAATCTTTTAAATTTTCATACTAATTGCACACTCGTCTGATGTATTTAGTAAGAAAGATATATTGAGATTTCGACTATGCTTCTTTGGGGCAAGTTGTTCAGTTGCGTGGATCCTACAGAATTACAACTTGGCATACCGCCCGTGTTGTACGAGCGCGCGCCGCGTGTCGCGAGGCGCGAGAGCGGAGCCTCGCAAACGCACCATTACCCCCCTAACAACCTAGCACGTACAATTATAATTCTTATTTACATTACACAATGGATCACTTTTAGTTGCACTGCTTATTGCTATGTAGTGAGATTCGTAACAGCAACTACTCAACTATCGCAAGTCGCACACGTAGAGTCGACAACTCAGAATTTTAATTGAGATAAACTTCGAATATCAAAATATTAATATCACCGCAACAGAGTGGAGACAGAGTCGTTGTAGACGATACATACTATAATCGCGTATTCTTTTCATATATCTAATATAATCATAAAAATTTACATCGGTAATTGTTTATATATACATTGTATTGTTATGAATAATGGATTGTATGTATCTGACCTTAAAATATAGCACTTAATGTATCAGTTATTATTATATAATTATTTATTATATTTATACATTATTATAAAACGACGGCAATATTTATAATTAACGCAGGATAAAAGTTTGAAATCAAAGTTCATTTCAATTCTATATGTATAAGATAACATTATAAACTCTACATTTCATGCAAATAAATACTCCTAAGTTTTTGGTCATAAATAAAAGCAATTGTTTCCATTAATTTATGGATATACTATAAATTATTATTGGTACCTAGGGATACTAAGCTGAGGCCGGTCTAGGGATTTATTATACTGTCAAATATATATGATCACACGTATATTTTAGTATTAAATAAAGAGAAAATGTGAAATGTTATTTATTTATATAAAATTTGTCTTAACACCGGATCGTGTTCTCTACCCGTTAGCCATTGGGCAAACAGGAAATAGGTACGAGTAGGCGATGCATTAATGTGAGTGAAGAATTACGGAAATAAACTAAATTGATGTATTTATATATAATATCATAAACTTGTGATGAAACTTTTGAATCGATGAAAAAATTATATATGAAAATAAATACTTAAAATATTACTATATCAAAAATGAACTGTATTAGAGGAGTAAAGAAAACAGTCTATGACTTTATCACCCGATTCCATTTATATACTATAACTACACAAGATATTATATATTAATAGCTACATAAAAAGATACATTGATCTCGCTGTGATCCTATATATTTGACAGATAGTAAAATCCCACTCTGGTACAACTCTATTATAGAAACTACGGACAACAAGCGCGTACTGTCGAGTGAACAATGATTGGGATCTGTTGATCCTATGTTGAGGAAATTCATTATTTATACGAAATAGTCTTTTTTTTTTCAAGTTCAATTAAATATTTCATTAGCAAACTTTTGAAGTGAATGCAATACTTGGCTGCACCTTACGCTAGTAATGTAATACACATCGTTATCTTTTTATTTCACCTGTCATATAATTCGTATAGTTTCTATAATCGTCTAATAGAGGTACATAATTGGATTGTTCTATTAAGTTCTACTTGTGACGGGCACATTCGTTCCAAATACGGACAGTATTATACAATATTCTCATAAACGCCTACAATAAGTAAGAAAATAGTAAAAATTCATTTACATTTTATACAAATTTCAACATTCTAATAAAATAAATTAATTGATTGATGAAAGTACATTGAGAAGCAATTGCAATTAAAAATTGTGTCGGAGACACGGACTAGGGATCGGTCGCTGTTTGCGATGCTTTGGGTGTGCTCATGGACGGATTACATCTAATACGGGAGAAACGAACAGTAGGTAACGCTGATCGCCTCGTCGCTCGCCCACAACGGCAAGAACCGAGAGATTTGCACGTAAAACTGTCAATACAGATCAAAACAGATAGAGTACTTTTGAAAATAACACTGTATAGGTCGATGACTAGATATAAATAACCTCGCTATATAAAATCATTATTTTGTATATACTAGAACTCGCCTGGTTTCCAGGACAATAGCATATAGATAATATTGCTACGTTCTCGTCTCATTTTTACAACGAAAACATTTGGTAACTAAACTTTTTGTAATCATAAACTAATCGCGATTGAAAAACGACTATTGCTGAGTAGAGTAGTGACGAGTGGAGGGCGTGGACTGGGCCGGGTGTGAGAGCGGCGCGCGGTACACCGAAGTGAGCCGCGGGTCGAGGTTGTGGTACTCCTTGCCAGAGCGAGGCCGCAGCGTGCTCGTCGTTTGCCGCACCACCCTATACCGTTCAATATATTAAAAATACATACACCCATTGTTACACACAACAGCAAACATTTTCTATGATTACATTTGTATATAAAATAATGTTCCAGGAATGGGCAGCAGCGTCTAGCTTAAAACATCACCAAAGCCTAACTGCGGTTGCCAACCTGCTTACCAAGTGTAGCAACTACTGGCAAAACTCCCCTTTATGGGGGAGACCTATGTTCAGCAGTGGACAGCTAACGATTGATATGATGATCACATTAGTATATAGAGATCAATCAATGTTTTTCTTTCTTTCTTTCAAGAGAGGTGCATGGTTAATAACGAAGACTAATCTAGTAGCCATATCATCTGACATATCAAGCTTCAGCTTCTGACACTCCTTGGAACTCATTGTGGCTAATTTCAGATAAATTCTTCATATTAGGCATGGTGACTTGATCATATTCATAAAACACTGATAAAATATACAAAATATCAAAACTTGAAAGATAATTAATGAAAGCAATATTGACTCACCGCATGGTGATAGGCGTATCCGTCGAGGAGTGTGAGGAGCAGATGGAGAGAGTCTCGATATAGTCCGACATGTCTGAGGTGCCACTCGACGTGCTGTGTGTATCCACTACACCTACGACGACATTTGCGAAAGTTGCGATATATATACTTAAAGGTAACTATATATATGTGAACAATATTATCAATTGTTATTTAAAAGTTATATTTTAAAAATTTAACTCTGTGTAGTTTTATGAAGTACAATCGACATCATGTTATGGTATAGTCACCAAACTTGGAAATATTTTCCAGTCTTTAAAAAACAATATTATTATTGTTGGTTTTCAACAGAACTAATTATTTAAAGGAAACAGAAGAAAATTGACAAACATACGTACCTCGAAGTGGTTTTATAGATAACACGGGCACTTCCGCTTCCGCAGAAGAAGATTTAGCCGGTATGCGGAGTGACTGTGTACCACCGGCCTGTAGCGGATCAGTAGACTTGGAACGACGTGGCAATGATATGTGCAGTGCACCAGCCGCACGCCGTGCACTCCTGTAATGCCGGCGCGTAGCTGCCGTCGTTAGCGGCAGCTCGAATTCTGCTAGCTCTCCTCCCGGCCGCAATGAACAACTTGATACACCAGAATCATTCGAACTTGACGAATCGCGATTACCACCTGCCTTTCCAGGCACCGATGACGATCGTTTTGATAGTACCACACCTCGCCCTCGAGTGCCCTTCGATGCTTCCGAACTGTCTGCATCCGAGTGTTTATTTTCTGCTGCGCATTCACATGAAGTTGAAACACGGTCAGTTTCAAGAGCTATATTTCGCAACGTTTCTATTGAGGATGTTGATCCATGACTTCCAACACTACCTTCAAACTCTTTCACGTCTTCAAGAAATCGAGATGAATCTGCAGAACTTGAACGCTTCCTGTATTCTATTTTATCTACACGTTCGACAGATGTTCGTGCTGTGCTTTTATTAGGATCATCAGTAATCGTTGGTCGATCTTCTTCGGATCCACAAAGCGTCGGATTGCTTGCAGATTTTTCTTCTAATAACCTATTAATGGGACTCTTTGAAGAATGTTTCATTGTGTGAAAAGCAAAACCTCCTATTGGTGACATTGGTGTGTATCCAGCAGGCAAATGCTTATTTTGCTCAATTTTATTACTTTCTCTTGTATTGGGTTCCATCATTAGATAATCGTCGCCTACATTAGCAATATTCGCTTCGCGATTGTCATTATTATCACATTTCATTTGAGGATGACCGCACTTTGTGCAAACATTTTTTCCATTTACTACTTTATACGCGATTGGCTTTAAATTTGTAGTTATAGCATTTAATTCCGATTGTGTAATGCCAGCTTTTCTTAAAAGATCTTTGGCATTTTCATAATGTTCTAATGATAAAGCAAAACTTAAATTTTCATAATTGGCTAATGGACCTTCGTCAATTTCTATTTTCCTCGTATCAGTACTTTTAAAATAATATTCAGACGTAATTTCATCATGAGAAATACTAGGCCGTAATTTTCTTTTTGTCTTACGAGAAAGATCAATTGTTGCATAGAGTGCACTGCGGTCACTAGGAGGTGGTCTTAAATTTTCTTTGTTTGGAGTTAAGTTATCTGTTGAAGTGGTATTTTTCCTACAGTAAGGGATTTTAATCCAATTATTTGCCCAGTCGGTAACCCTTTGACAAGCACAATTGGAAGTTGGTTGTAATGTTTCATCTGCATCTATAATAGTAGGTTCTTTTGGCCTTTTTCCGAATTTTAGTAAACATCCACAAGGTTTTTTTAATATAAGTGTGTTTGTAGTAGAATTTTTTGTTATTTTGAAAAGGTCACTATTAAGACATTCTTTGAGTCTCTTTGGTGTATCGTAGTATTCTCCTTCAACCTATTAAATATAAATTATTTATTAATTATATATTGCTTAAAAAACAGCCATATTTTATCAATCAACAACAACGAAGTATTACAGTTCTACTGTTACATTTACAAGGTTGTTCATAAACTTATATACTTGAAAATAGACCAAAAGCATTTTAGAGCTATTTTTTAATAGTAGATAATACTATAATTGCTATTTTTAAACAAAATTCTTACCTCTGCTGAAGGAACTTTTGGCACATCATAATTTTCATAAGGTCCTATTTTAGACGATTTACTTTCTTCAATGCAAACAACATGAGAGCAACTACAAGTTTGTAAAGGTAGGGGCATCGGTGGCTTTTTGTTAAGGTTGAGATCTAATCTAGTAGGCTTTGGAGGTCTATGGGGCGGCACATCACAATGACATAATTCCTCAGTCTTATTAATTATATTAGAGTACTCATCACAACTTTGTGGGATTTCAACGGCCACAGTTTCTACATGGGGTGTTTCGTTTACTGCTTCCATTGTCCACGCAGGATTAAAATGTTTAGCACCAGGCGTCAACGCTGCAGTGGATGACCTTGACAAGGCACCAAGTTTTGAGATGCAACTCATACAACGTTCCAACGTGACGTTCCCGGTCATATTCCATGGAGTTGTATCAGTGCCCTCCACCGCCTCATTCACCGAAGCGGTATCACCCAGTCCCATGTCTTGGAAATGAGTTCTTTCTGTTGATGGCCAATACGGTGATATTGCTCCAGCTTCTTCACCTATACACGGATCTTCATAAAGACGATCCATTGACTGTACAGAATGATCCACAGTTTGCAATTCTGAAAGTCTCGTATCAGGTCGATAAGTTTTATGTGATTTAGGACTTTCTGCACCTGTGAATGATTAAATAAATAAATTCATAGGTACATATTTATTAAATATTTATTTATTATTAATAAATTTTATATTATAAAGAATATACCTTCACTTTTCTTCGCAACTAAGGGTCGCCTTTTTGGTGACAAACGACCCTGTGATGCCAAGTTGAAGTCATGAGCTATTTCCCGAGCTTGATCGCTGATAAGCACATGCAACCCTTCGCCTTTACCGCAGTGGGAACCTCCTTCGAAGCAAAAGCGACCTTCCACCACACCAAATCGCCTATATAGAGATATTTTAACTGTACTATCTACATCTTTATTAATTTCAAACTCAAAATAAATATAACATTGTAATTTCAGATGTGAAATGACAACAACTTTCAACTATATTTTAAACAAATGATGTACCTGAGATGCGCTAACTCCCAGATCCCAAGTAACCGCGGTGGTACTCCAGCGGTGAGCGCAAACCTTCTCTCGTGCAAGTGTAGTCGAGCAGGTCCTGGTGGGAGGCGCTTTCCACCACCACTACCTCCACCTCCCACTAATACCAAGTAGTGGCGAGGTTCTCCCAGATGGCCGCTCACTTTTACCTGCGTAGTTTGTTAGTAATCATTATCATCATAAAGAACCTTAAATGACCCACATAAACACGATAACAAGAAAGAAACACATAATGGCCAAGGCTCACCTGCCACTGTATGAGTCGTTCTCTTGTCTCGAACGCGAGTATAGCTACTAGGTCTCGACACACGAGTGCCAACGTATTGGAATGCTTGTCCAGTGTAAAGCCACTCTCACAGCCAAGGTACTGCTGCAAGGACAGCGAAGCCTTCGTGGTGGCGCCGCCCCATCGCGCCTTCGAGTCGCGATACAGTTGCAGATGCACACAATCTATTGAACAAATGTTTTAATCTCCCACATTGTTATAAGACCATCAGCATGGATGTCTCTTATTTATCCATAATTCTGCTACTAATCGGTTGCTTATCTGCAAAGCTTACATATTAAATTCCATTTTGAATAAAAGATGATATGAAGGATATATTTAACAAAAGTATTGATGGTCATGATCATCGATCATGACCGTCAGGGCCCTACAATGAGTATAATGTTAATACAGTTGTGTTCTTTTTCGGCTACTGTTAAACAAAACAAAACTTTCACTGAGTAAAGAAACTTATAAGCTTTATTAGCCGCTTTTTAAGCATAATTTCTTACTACATTTTGAGTGATAGCCTGTAATTCAAAATATAGTAAAAAACTGTACTAAAAGAATGAACATAAACAATAAAAGCATTCAGTGAAGCGCTTCCCCGACGTTACAAAAAAGAGTAGGTAACAATAAAACTTTGTTGAATTCCTAAACATATTGCACTTTAAAGCCGACGGGGCGCCGAGGGTTCGTAGCGTTTTAACCTATTGATCGTGAGTAATAAAAGCGAGGGCTTCAAGTCGGGGATCGCGTTACATTCTTCGTATTTTATGGAGTCGAAAATAAGCATTGCGAAATCCTTTGTAGCGGCGGCGTCGGCGTCCTGCGTGGTACTCGCGGCCGCCTGCAGCGGCGCGTGATGGATCTCTCGCGAACCACCGCGATAGATTCGTCTCGAGCTCACGATATACGCATATTCCGATACATTGCACACATTGGCATGGGTTACTCATACTATGCAAACATTCATTACTCTGTTCCACGAATCCATTTATATATTCCAAAATTTTGTGATTTCCAGAATTTAATAGATTGTATCTGAATGTGTTTTGGTTTGAAGGATATGAAGGGGACAAAATGCAATGTGTAAGCGGTATCACAACCATCGCTATATTCCGTGATGATCGTCCGTCCATATCGCTGTTACCATCAGGTCGGCTAGTTACTATCAGGTCAGTTTCTTTCCTGTTCCATGTTGCTTAATAGATTTCTAGTCTCATGTAATATTTTTATACCTAAGTGTTTTATATTTAAAAGTTATTATCCTAGGCACCCTACCAGCTGGCAGTGATCTTAAAGAAATTTTTTATCTTTAAATATATATATTTTTAAATTTTTTAATGTTATATTGAATTAAGTAATATTTTGTTATTTCAATAAATATTGTTAATTTGTTTTAAAAGTTTATGTTCAAACTTAAACGATGTTTTTATTAAAATTCTTATATAGTAATGTAATCTTGGACAGACACTTGTAAAACCAGCAACCAAATAAATTTTTTAAATGTCATTCGGACCGCAAATTTAAACGTATTCGTAATAGTTTGTCTTTAATATAAAAATAAAATATTTGAAGCAACACCTTATATTTCCGGGATCCTACCCATCACCCCGTAAATGATATAATGTGCCATGACTTACAAGAAATACCTATTGTATTTCCTTTCAGTTGAACTGAAGCGAACATTTCATTGTATTACTCCGCATTCTTGACAGTCGTTTGTAACCGATTTGTGCCACCACCGAAAAATGATGTTTCAGATCGTAAAGTCACTACCTATTATATTTGTTTGGTTACTATAATGTACTCTTTCGTGTAACGTTTATGATTTCCTTGACACTGACTCATTTAAAATCTATTTACAATATAAAAATTCAACCGCTTGACAAATACATATTATGTGCGAAGGATTCCATTATTACAATGTAAAATATAGTACAACCTTCAATTATATGAATATTAATTTATAAGATATTACGAATGAAATTTTTGTGATAATGTTTTCCTCCAGTTTTATTATGATTGATTAAATTAAAAAAATATCTTCGTAAAAAACAGCATGATATAATTTGAAAATAATAAATATGTTAAATTAATAAATATATTTCTTTATACTTGTACACCGGAGGTCATCTCCCTAAAGCGAGTAGTAATCTATACTACTATTATATAGACGTAAAAATTTGTAAGTTTCAATGTTCGGGATAGTATTGATCTGATTTTGAAATTCTTTCAGTCTTAGTGTGCATTCAATGAATGCTATAATGTCTGAATGCTATAAACTACTTTTTATTTTGGTAAATATATATTTTCAATAATTATTTACAGTAAATATATTTGAAGTCGGCAAAAAATCTATATAATGGCATGCGCTGTCTGAAATAAAATCTATAGCAAAAACATTCTTTACTTTTACCTTTACAAAAAAGTTCGTAACACTATATATTTATGGTAAGTTTAATATGTCAGCCAAAAAAAATGGTATTTATGTTAAAAGTAAAACAAATATTACAGAGAGAGATTAAGTTTGGATACCGGTTTGACGTATACTTTACGAACTCTTATAAAAACAAATAGCTATATTAAAACGTAAATTTCATGGAGATAAAGTTTTATTAAGAAGATAAACTTTTTACAACATGTCAATTGAAATTGGTCAGAAGAAAACGCGAAATAAAAAAAAATAAGCCAGTAAAATAATTGCGTTGTCGCAGGCGATGGCCGTGAGAGAATAGTAGGCGGGGCGCGGTGGTGAGGGGCGCAGGGGGAACTATGTAAACGAACAATACTAAATTGCTAAATAAGCCGTTCATTTTAATATTTTAGAGAATATTAGTGCAGTACTTTCACACACGCCAAAGTACCAGCCTTGCTATAATGTGTCGAACAATTTAAAAATTACACAAACATTTTACCCGTGCGGAGCCGAGGCGGGTCGCATTGTAGATGTACATGTACTACATGTTTATCGTATCAAAATTAAGGTTACTTGGAAAATTTTAGTATAATATACACATAAATCTCTACCGAAAGAATAAATTTTTGGATCTACAAATAGCATGACACTTGTATATCCAATTGCATGATGAATGTTTTAAACTGGTTTGATTAGAGTTTTTTTCTTTAATTCCGCTACCATCAGTATGTGTGTGACTGCCAGTACTCGAAAAATGACCACCACTATTACTACCAGAAGGTCCACAACCTATTTCTAAACGAGGCATCTTCAGGCAAATTATTAGATCTCTGCTCGGAGACTAGTGTCAACCGTTCGGCATCCAAACTGCAAAATTTGTGTATTATTACTATATTATTACTATCGAATATGAAATGTTGTAGAACTTCTGGTGCAGCAGTGGTAGCAGTGGTCAATCTTCGACTGTTGACAGTCGCACACAAACTAATGGTAGCGAAATTAAACAAAATAATTTTAATCAAATAACCAGCGATATGCACTTCCGTAAGATAACACCTATTTTAGTAGCATATTTTATAAGTTAAAATAAATAATGAATGTTTTTCGAACTTTGAATTACAGTGCCGTTTTGTACATTTATAACGTTTACACCAAGGAAATGTTTTATGTCGCGATCGTAAAGTCTACGAAGTTTGATGGCCACATGCGCTTCGGACCGCTTTTGAGGCGACATTATTGGGTGCGCGGCCGGAACTGGCACTCGGCGCGCCACACACGAAGTACCAGCAGCACGTAGCACTGTGCTCCACGCGAGGCGTCAATGTCTCGATCATTAACTGTAGTCGTTACAGAGTTTTACGTCCACTACAGATGTCATATCGTCTGGCATATTGTATACCTATACCAGCTTTACGTAATATCTACTAGGCAGATCCTTAACAGCATAGTTTATTTTTGTAAGTAAAAAAGTCTTAATTTACTATTCTCGTTTCATATATTGACATAATTCGTCTCATGATATCCATGGCAATTTTCAACTCTGACTTGACATCTTTCTTTAATACACAATCTAAGGCGTTATATCTGAGTTTCGATATCGTGGCTCTCTCTGCATCGTTCCACTTTCATATTATCGATTTCATCATCTTTTTATTTATAATATTATTATATTCTTTCTCAATTTTTTATCAGCATGTTACGGTTTATTCTACTGCCTACTTTTTTTATTGTACGTCCTACTAACAATTATAATTTCATCCACTTGTTGCAATATTTACCATAACTTCTACTGGGGTTTGAAAACCATCCTTTTTTATGAAACAGAATGACAAACAAGCTGACGGCCCACCTGATGGAAAATGGTACCCGTCGCCTATAGATATGAGCAGTACCATGAACATAACAGAGTATACTGTTTCACACATGATACTCCCCATGTGTTGTATTTTGTGCGAAAATTATTATAATAACAATGAACGAAATCTGAAATTGTAATTAAGAAAAAACTTTCGCTTTGTGACGTGTGAACATGCGTAATTCAAGTAAACAAAATTTTAAATGCAAATTAACTGAGCGTATCAAACTTTATGCAGTGAACGGTCCAATTAATGTGTTTAAATAATAGCTGATGCGATCGTTAGACGTGCGGTGGTGGTGGCGGTGGTGGTGGTGACGGTGGCACGGTGCAGCGAGCTTGCGGTCCTTATAATTTGCGTTTCAATTAGCGAGTGCACTTGCATGGTAATTAATGAGTAGCGAACACTAGTAACTGTGCTAGCACGAGTACTGCCTGCTAGTGCGCTAGCGGACACGTCACCTGCCGATACGATGACATTTATTTGTTTCCTATTCTACACACGCCGCCCGTTTATAGTCCTTTAATTATATACAATAAATAATTAATAAAAATGAAGTATATTCACACCGGAGCCACTTTTGTAGAGCAATATTACGCAATGCAGTAATTTAGGTACTTTCTATTACTTCTATCGCTACTTGTTGCCATTTGGTTGATTTTTGTAATCGCATCTGTAATATACGTAATAATATACGCAAAACGTACGAAAGTATATTATTGTTTTTTTTTTTAATTGTTGGCAATTGATTATTGACAGATGAAAATCTGTAAGCCAACTACACAGCGTGCATATTCAAAAGCTTAGCTAATATTATGATCAGCTAATGTTAAGAAGTTTTGTAAGAATGTTACTAAAAATTGGACAATGTAACTAACATATTGTTATTGTTACTAACTAATACTTGGAACCGTTGTTTTACAATAACTAACATCGATGTAAGTGCACTTTTAATTGAAGCTCACTTCTGTCAGGACCACGTTTCTATTGCACATATTTACTTATTTTAGATATGAAACAATCACATGGTTTCGTTATGAATAACTAACACCAATGTTTTACTAAAGTAGGTGTTATTTTGTGGAAGTCCATATCACTAGTTAGTGGAATAAAATTATTTTGTTTAAATCCACTACCATTAGCAATAATTATAATAGTCAATGTTAGAGTGTTGGCAATCGCACACATACTAATGAAAGCGGAATTAAACAAAATAATTTTAATCAACTAACTAGTAATATCAAAGTTCGCAAATTGTAATGATTTTTTTTGTAGGTACCTAATTATAATGTAATCTGAAGAATCCGAAATCTAAACAATGGAAAGCGTTTACCGTCGTCTGTACACACGAATGGTAACTGAGACATCAGTGACGGACATAGGTAAGGTGAATAATATAAACCATGTTAATGCAAGTAGGAATAGACTGTTGTTGCTTTCGGTGATTTCAACCGAAAACGTGGCGGTGAGGCGTAACATGGCCGCTCAAATGTACACTTTAAAAACGAAAAAGGGCTGTATCGTCGAGGAGACGAAACAGTTCAGAGGTGTTCGTAATCCATACAATATCTTAATATAATTAATAATTAGTAGAATTACATGATTAACTTTCTCTTATTCCAATGTATTATAATTATAAACATAAATTAAAAGGTGCAAAATATAAGTATTAATAATTGGTGTGTGTTTAATTGATCCTTATAAGATGTATGTCAATGCTATCTATCATGACCGTTATCTGCTTATTATTTATGTCAATATCCAACAAGAATGACTCATGTAATTATATGTTGCCCGTCCATGCACAATTGCCACATATAATTTACGTAATTTTTCAACTGATATAATTTGATTGCGTGACAAATCCGTCGCGGCATTAAAATTGATTTATTCAAAACAATCCAATATCGAGGGTACCTGTGCAGTATTGTAATGGGAGTTATAAGCGCATGGGGCGAGACGTGCCCCGCGTACAGATGAGCCCCTTTGCGTTTAGCCCCATGGAGGCCGAGTGGTCGCGGCGCACCCCCGGCGGCCGCGCGCCGCCACTTGTCACGAGCACTGATACCAAGCAAGATGCAGCGCCACGGTATCGCGCACGCACTAAGATCGTCATATTTATTTGCATACGGAAGGGAGGCAGCTGTGTTGGTCCCGTGATACAATCAATATCGTCCAATCGTTACTGACTGTTACTGTTAGTTCGATTTAACTGTGTTTCGTATGTAATATACTTGTATAACATAAAATGATGTGCCAGCTGAGTTCTATCGGCGCGGTAATATCTAACAAGAGGATATAGCCAGTGGTAGTATTATTAGATATTTTGCATAAGTGATGCTGTTTATTACTTAACTATTTATTTTCTAGACCACTTTATCTATTTTACTTAACATATATGTTGTAGTACAACTGAAGTATTTCAAAATAATAACTATCAACGACATCTTCAGCAATCGACATCTGAAAATATGCATCTGATTACATTAAGAGGAAGACCGAAGAATAACTACATGGGACAGATAAAAGAAACACTAGGTGTCATATCGTATAGGGAGGTCAAGGATATGGCCTGGGATAGAGCTGGCTGAAAGAAGATGCATGAATTAGTTGCACCGACAAGAGGAAACTCTTAAATGAAAGGAAGAGAATATCTGACTACACTAATATGAATTACAATTGCAAGCTTATTTTATAATATTTCGTTTATATTTTCTGTGATTTTATTAGATATCTACGTATAGATGTGAAGATATGTACAAGGTAATACTAAGACCGCGAAATTTTCCGATTATCGTCACATTACTGACGCTATCAGCGGCTCCTCTCGCGATACCCTTCACCGGCCGTGCTGATAAGTATCGGCACGTCAATAGCACGAGCCCTGAACACGAGGGATGTGATTGATCGCATTCGCGTCGACAGTTGCAACTTTACATATACAGATACTCGCACATCTAGTAGAAGCCCTTCTAAACAAAACACAGGGAGGATTAACATTCAATATATACCTTTAAAAAACTTAAAATAATCATAAGATATATAATGCTGATTCTATGATGCATAGGTATAAATTCACAATAAAGAAATAAAAATATCAAATATGATAATTATGTACTTTATTAGCCTATAATACCTTTTTAATACCTACCGATTACTTCTTCCTTTCAAATAAATAATGTTTATAAATTTACTTTCTCTCTGATATTTGATGGAAAGTTTCATATCTTTAATTAATATCGTAAACACGTAAGTATGCATATATTTGATTTGATGCATTTTCATTTTATATAATACTCATAAACTACTTGTAGCCGATTTGAATGTGAATCATACATGAAAACCAATAAGAAATTCCGTAACTCTTGGACCACAGCAAATGTTCATAATTATTCTGTCGTGTTGAAAATAGATAATTTCCTTAATAACATTAACACCTGCCCATCAGATAAAACACACTCTAAACGGTGTCTCTAGAAGTATAAACTTCACATATAATTCCCGTATAATGTAATGTGAAGGTATGAAACCACAAAAAAACAAAAGCAGCGGCTTAAATCGTAACAACATTAATATTGGCTGCCACACTCTCAATATTATTTTAAAACTAATAAAATACAACGATAGACGACAAGATGGTTTCATTTAAAATACATGACTAATAGATTTTTCGTCGTAAAGTAAAAACTGATTCAATTACAAAAACGAAAATGAGACCAACGTAGAAATGAAACGTATTGATTCGAAAAGAATTTGACAAACACACCGCATAACTTATACGCACATTCAGAACTTAAAACTCCAGCGAATGACGTTAATAAAGGCCAATGAAATAAAACTTAATGAAGTTATATATGTAGGTGTAATGAACTGAATTTCAGATCCGGCATTATTAATAGGGACATGTGAACTATATGCAATCAATCTTTAATCAAAAATTAAAATTAATACCTATTTACATCCGCTATATATTGTGTTTATATATATTTACTTCGTTCGTTTTGGCAACAACTGTTAAAATTCCCCAATGGAAGGAGGCTTATGTTCAGTGGACAGTTAAAGACTGATATGATGATGATGATGATATATTGTGTTGATAATCGATTCATCTTGCTATGAATTTTAGACCAAAAGATGTTTGAAGATTAGTGTGACTTTACCGCGCGCTTTATTCTTATATATGCAACGATAGGAGTCAATGGGATTATTTTAAATTTAACCGTAAACCAATTACATAAGGTTCAGTTTGACTATATATAGGACTCACTCCTATTTTAGATACAGTCAGTTGTTGTAATAGCGAACTGAAAAAGTTTTCGCAGAAAAAAACTTAAAACTGAATATGTATTCTGGTAACTAAAAAATCGGTAATAATCACAAATTGAAAATCTACCGAATTATTGAGTGTTTTATGGAAAAAGAACAAACAAGCGTGTCGCTTATCTGATGGTAAGTGGCAACAGAATGAATTGGGAGGAAAAGGGATTGTTAGTAATGAGGATTAGCAACCTTATTACTAGCAATATACTCTATTAGGTCGACCTCCTCGCGGTTTCGCCTGGAAACCATTGTGATTGATTCATTAGCAAATTTGTTAGGATAGGCTAACTGACCTGCTTCATCGTCACTTATCATCTCTCACTGGTGCCCCGCCAGCGTATACCGATAGCGCAGACGGGGCGACTAATCCATTATTATCCGTTAAAAAATAATGAATATACGCAACTCCAAAGCATCCTGATTAGCCTTTCAGTGGGCCACAGTCTATGACAATAGCTTTAGATAAAACTGGATTAGTCCAAGGATGACCTTAAGACCAAATCCATGATATGATATACAAAAACATTAAGAGGTAACAAGTTGAAATAAATACCATCATACTTAGAATCGTACTGCACGTTTAATGTAATTATGTTAATATGTATGTATAAATTATAACAAATATTGTGTGTTTAGATCAATGTTCTTATTTTCATTATGCACCCTAGAAACAATAGAAACCAGTTGAAATTTCATTAAAATTCAATTATTATTGATAATTTAATTATTGATAAATCTCTCTGACTTCTGCCATGGGGAGTTATAGGCGTGAATATATATATATATATATATATATATATATATATATATATATATATATATATATATATATATATATATATATATATATATATACATGGCAGTAATAAATTCTAAATGTAATTTAATAGGATGTAATAAATATAAATTCAAATCTAATATGTAAACTGAGATATGGTTCGAACAATTTGTAGATAAGAAAGGTTATTAGCAGCAGAATCACAATACATATACATTTAAAATGCTATCTTAATCTACCCTTTGATGTCGAAAATAGCCGATATTGGGGCATAGAGATTATAAAATATAATTTTATTTATTTATTACAAAAATTATACAAGGTCGTGTACGTTGGTACTCGTACCTACCTCTCTATCACCGGCGAGTATTTCTGACACCATCCAACTATAATACAGTTTTTAAACTTCACATTTCAAGACAAAAGATGTCAGTGAAATTACTTCGGACTATGATTCATCATGGCTAAGGCGGCAATGAATGATATTACAAGTGTTATTGGATTGCGGAGGACGCTCACATTCAAGCGAAGTATATAAAGATTGGGAAATATAGTTAGTGTGATAAGAGTGCTGTGACCACTCACCTGCTACTGGCGACAGCTTGCGCATCACGCACCACCGGGACTTCCACTGCACACAATAAATTGGATCACTTTATATTATTATGTAATAAACAAAATAAACAAAAAAATACCGCTTATATTTTGAAAACATCTGTCACCTATAAACATCAACAAACAATATGATCAAAGAAAACAACGGGCAACTGTAGAAAACAAACATCTTACGAAATAGCCAAGTTGACAATGACAAAATTTAATAAAAACAAAATGGTCGAACGCTGCGGGCCTAGAGTCGATCACTGCATATACAAACGATGTTTGCTGATTTTGTCACATTTGGCGGATCAAGACTTAAGATAGTTAACTAAAAAATAAGAAACTTCCGTATATACCTTTTTCCCATCCCTGAACTTAACGGTGCCCTCTATGATGGTGTTGTCGTCCGCCATGTCGGCGCTGTGAGCCGCTCACTGCATCACTCGCCGCCGCCGCCGTCGCTCACTACACTGTCACCACGCGTGGGCCCAGCATCACTAGCATCACCGCACTACATCCAGTTCACACTGGCAGTCACATCACTAACGCGCTTACACTATCCACTGCGTTGTCTGAAAAAAAAAATATATACATTATTTTTGTTAAACTGTAAAAATGAGTTTGTTTGCTTGTAACGCTAGCGCTTTAAGGGCTTAACCAATTATTGCAAAAATGAGTATACTAGTGGTATTACATGCCATGTTTTTTTTTTATGCAACTTAGAATAGCAAACAAGCTGACGGCCCACCTGGTGTAAAGTGGTAACCGTCGCCTATAGACATGAGCTGTACCATGGACATAACAGAGTATACTGTTTCGCCCATGATACCCCCCATGCGTTGCCATTCCTGAGGACTCAGGTGTCATTCCTCTGTACCCAGTAAATTCACGCCATATCCCACCCTTCAAACTGAAACACAGCCATGCAAATACAGCTGTTTCACGGTTGAAACACGAATGGGACAGAGGTACCCACGCAATCGACTTTTGTACAAAGTCTCCCTCTGGTAGTACTGGTAGTACTCCCTGTAGAAGTACATTACTACATGTGCATGGAGGCTACATAGACTACTTTTTCTCGCGGTCAAAAAAGAAAATCTATTTCTATATTGATTTCTATATTTGTATATATAATAATTTCGGCTCAACATTGATGAGCCAACCAGTATAAATATTGATATAAATCATACATTTATTTTCAAGACACGTACAGAGCATGATGTCCACGACATTGTATTTTTTTTATCAATATGACGTTTGTGATAGTTATTTTAACCATTAACAATGTTTTTGTAAACTCGACTTTTATTTAAAAAAAGCAACAACTGGGTTCCCTGCCTACTTTTCTCATCTGAAGTGGTGGACTCTAAGAAAATGACTATTCTCTAAATTCTTATAAATGTTTAATTAGCCACGTAGTCCCGGCATAGAATAGGTTACCCCTTCCTTTCCTGTGGGCATCGTAAGAGACGACTAAGGGAAGGCGAGGGATCGGCAGCAGCATGCCTTCTAAAACGTCACCAAAGCCTAACTGTCGTTGCCAACCCGCCTGCAAAGCGTGACAACTACTGGCAGAACCCTTAAGGAGGAGGCCTTTGTACAACAGTGGACAGTTAACGGGTGATATAATGATAATGATACAATAAACTAGGTATTTTTACATACGGGATGAAATGTGAACTTTGGATATTAGTTAAAGGCACGCAACAGACACGACAAAGGTCATATAATGTTTATATTGGTTTGAGTATTTACTGTGAAAATATGTGTGTCCTTTCAAATAAATTACATTTAGCACTTTCCATCAGGTGGACCGATAGTTTGTTTGCCATTCTAAGTTGCATAAAAAAATAAGTATTTAAATATTTTTATTCATTATTTATTTATATACAAGAAGCAAACCATCTTGCCGATATAATTTTAAATACATTTATAAATGTAGACCTATAGTTCCGTATAGTATATAATAATGCACAATCATCCATCCGATGCACGCTGTATGCAATTATATGTGTCTATTAGTTGTCTAGTGCGCACAATACGAGCTCTGTTTAATTTTGGAGCTGGGTGTAGATATGTAGTATTAGACATATTGACATGACATCTCAGTACAGCCACTCTTATAGTGTTGGTCTTAATGTCATCGCAATATTTTGTCATAAATTGTGTAAATGCACTGAATATATCGATAGATAGATAGATAATTTATTTGCATCACTTACAGCACACAAATAACATTAGATATTGGTACATAGTTAAAAAAGAATAGGTACTTTTTTGTTTTTTTTTATATATATGTATCTACATAAAAGAGGTAACATATTTTTTCGTGAATGTACCATGGTAACACAAAATGGTCACAACTTAGTTTATTGCTTTGCTCTCAAAAGAGCTAAACACTGATATTTTGTTGTGACCAAAAACCAAAAGTCGCCGCGAGAATTCTTAACAAAAAATAATTTATTTATTTGATTTTAAATGAATTAAACTAATTGTGTGTGTGTGTGTCCATTATTAATAACTTATTAATATTTTAATCTTAATTAATAAATAAGGAATACCATTAAAAATGGGGTAGTTAGAGGTCTCTGTCGATCACATTCAAACATTCAAGTAATAAATATGTCCGCCACATACCTATTAGGTATGCCAAGTTTTTGTTTATTAATTAAAATCTTTTTAAGCTCTTATATTGCATTATTATCCTTGCATATTATAACATTTTCAATTCAAAACCGTAGAATTTTTCTCGAAATTTTTATTACAAAATGTGGCCATTGTAATTTATTAGTAATTATTATTAATTAGTCGATCTTAATGAAAGATTTTTAGATTAGATTACGCATTCACTTAATACTTTTTTTACATCGTATGACATTATGATTGTGATGGATTTACAATAACACGATGTACCGTTGATATCGACACGTGATAGCCGATAATCCTCTCTGTTCCTGGGATTTCTTACAATTACTCCCGATTGAGAGACCTTATTAGTTTTTATTTTCTATAGATAAGCTTAAGTAAAATCCCTCTACATGTTCCAGCAATTAGTTCTAACTAATTTACAATTTCACTTTCTAGTTTCTGAGATATGTACTGCTAACTCTATATGTTGTAGCAATAATCATATCACTAATATTCTTGAGATATTACTTTTCGTTCTATATAGATAATGTATATAGATAATATCTTCATGCTAAATCTCTTACCGGATAGGCAAAGAAAAAAACGAGTCCATGTCTTTACTTACAGCTATTGCTACTATATAACACAATAACGTGGCGATGACGACGGACTTGTACATAACCGTCTGTATTTTTGGTTACCAAATTAATAACGTCCCTATAATTTCATCAATATCGTTTCCTGCTTTTATTCTTATATTGTGTTTAAATTTCTTGATGCCTTGTATTGCAATAATTTCATCTATTGGACTTGTAACAATATGTAATAATGAAACACGTTTAATATATAGTATACTTCGTTTGCATTATTTTCATTAAGTAGCTATGTAAGTGTTCTAGAAATGTTTATTACAAGAGAACACAGTACTACCGGTAATAAGTATATCAATTATTAAGATTTACCGATTAGATATGGCGAACGTTTTAATACTGTTTTTAGATAGTGCGACATTATCGTTGTTTTGATTGCGATAGATCTCATAATAATACGATGTACAACAGACGTCGACACGCGATAACTGATAATCCTCTGTGTTCCTCACATTTCTTTCAATTTCTCCTAATTGAGACACGCTACAGATCTGCTTTTAGTATCGATAAGCTTGGATCAAATCTGTCTACGAGTTCCCATAATTATTTCCAAACAAATCGAACTTAATTTTTCCGGTTTAATAAAATAAATTTATAATTCAATATCTAGGTAGCCATTAGAATAATCTTATCTTTAATAAATCTAGTTAAGTAAGTACCTAATCGTCTTTGAAGTATTGCACTACCTGCTCACAATAATGAAATATCTGCGCATATACGTAATTCAGCCCATTTGGATGTATCGAACGTCATTTATTAAAACTGGCACACCGTCCTGCAGGTTATTTAAATGCGATAGTGCATTTCATGTCGCCCGCTCGTGACGGAGCTACTCGTACAACGTTGTCAACTACAAGGGCCGTTGTATAATTCTATCAAATTGATCTATTATTAATAAATGGCAATTAAAAATTTATTGCGGTGTCGGTGACTGTGCGTAGTTCAGGATCGTTTCATGGGGGCGTGGAGAGCCCGGAAAGATGTTCAACAAGTTATTGCAGTATACTAATAATGATGATTATGATTCGGAATATTTCTACATAAAAATCATAATTTATCTATCCTTTCGTCCATTTCACCTTATCTTTTTTCCGAGACAAAGGTGTACTTCGTCAGTCATCGTGTTAACGCAGCTCGCCGCTGTACATATGTACGAGTATATGATGTAAACATACATAATCTACATCTTTATATCTACAACTCTACATATATATGTGTGCCTTGTGGATAGCCACAGTACTTGTACACAATACGTATTTAATCATCCAGATAATATCGGAACCACTTACTCTATATTTTTATGTTTAAGTTTTATTTCTCTTAAAATTTTGCCTCTTTAATTTTGTAAAGATTTGTATGCACAAATCTTTGAGTCTAAACTCATGCATACAAATTTATACAAAGCTAAAGATTATATGCATGCTTAGTATTTAGATTAGATTTCTAAAAGCTATAGTAATTAAAATAATTTCGAATTTTCTTTAATCTATATATACTGTTATCCAACCAAACCTATTGTATGTGTATACACCGATTTAATTGTTTAATGACCAACATGTATTCGTAAAGGATTGTCCAATGGAGATGTCTCAAAGTGCTTGAGATACAAGACGCGTGACAATTATGTAGCTCGAGGACTAGCACTGCTCTGGTCATCATCGCTTTGTAACTTGAACTCTACCGTTCGTGCCGAGAGTTCAATTTCCAATGATGATCGGAGCCGTGCAGTTAAGCGGTTTATTGGAGGATTTAGGTAATACTGTACTGGTGCTGATGCTTCGAGTTCGCCAGAACTATTTGCTAATATTATCCACATCGACATATTGCAAATTTAGTGGACTCTGATAGATACTGGAATATAATATAGTCTATACTATCTTATTACATATGTGATTAAAAATTTAGTAATAAAATGTCAGTACCTGTTAAATTAAAACTATGTCTATACATAAAAGTAAATCGAAGCAAGATTTATATACCATACATTGGATTTTATTTCATTTTAAGAAGTTTTTAAGTAATCATCCAGCTATATTGGAAATTGTTTAAATGTTTTAAACATTGACAAGTAATTTAACTCTACACCCAAGCTTCGTTGTGGAGGTAATAAGAAGATGCAATTCCAGAGGTAACTAGCATGTATGCAAACAAATAAAGAGGTAAGCTTACTATAATAATAGACAACGTGTCTTGTACCATTATCTATTCATATATTGATAAGAATTCTTGCGTCAGGCAATCGATAACAAACAATGTAAATCGGTAATAGAAACCGGTAACATATCTAAAATATGTCATTTATTAATAGTATAGGTACTATTACAGAATGGTAAAGAGCAAGCATTCTATATTATTAACTAACTATCACATATAAAGGGGCCTAATAATTTAGTACATATGTAACATTTTGCAATATGTCAAAAATAAGGAGGTACATTATAGTACCGGCAATAGGTAGTAGAGTAGAGAGTGTAAATATATCAACATGAACATATTATGTCTGAGACAGAGGTATGGGAAAAAGATACATGTTTTAGTTGTTCCAAAAAATCTTAATATTCTTTAATGCATATTAATACTCGCCCATTATGTACTCTTTATTACATGTACACATTGTGATTTGTTAATGTTTGTCGGGTGCCCACGATCAGGCTCGCCTAGTGTGAGGCCCATTGTATCTTGTGATTGTAACTTTGTGTTTTTGTCAAATATTAAATTTCTATTCCTAAAAGATCGTCATTGAATACATACATCGACCATACGTCACATTAAAACTTAGGATACTTTCCAACAAATCAATAATTCCAATATATTTCCTAAACTCTAAATAAACATATCTAGAAACATAACCATTTAATAATCTTCCATTCTAAAATACTGAAACTATGCCACATAATCCATCGTCGACCTGTTTACATACTATATGCCTCAAAAGTTGCCATAGTTTAACCCACATTTTCTTACATGGTACACACCTGTCTAGCTATCGATTGTATTTAACTTCGTCTTCGGACATACAAGAGCTATATCCATACATTCAAACTTTATAAGAGATGGATTCTAAATCGATAGCCTCATTTTTAATGTAGGTACGTTTTTCTATTCTCGGTAAATTCTGAACCTTCCATACTGAGGTTATAAAATTTAGGTATTCCATATTTTTATTCCGGTTAAGTCAATATATAGATCACAGATATATCAAATTCTGGCATCAAAATTTCGACCCTTCTTTTATGAAATTTGGAATTCAAAACAGTATGTCACCTGATGGAAAGAGGCAAACGTCATTTGTAATAAAACCAGCACCATAAACTTCATAGAATACTCGATGATAACATCTTTGATAAGAAGATATTAACATGGGTGTCCATATCACTGACCTCTGAGTGGCTCATCAATATAAAAGCAAAACCATCTATTATACAATACAAAGAAACCAGTCTAAGAAAATAAATCCTCTACGTCGAATCATTACTTGAAAATGTATATTTTCTTCAGTCGATGATACTAGTACTTATGATTACCATGATATAGCTACGAGTAGTATATTAGTGTAACTAGATATACCTGTTACTTAATATAAATAGAATACTGCATAATTATTTAAATGTTTCCAATTCACCGCCAGATATCACTGTAACACGTTAAAGTACACGCGCACTCCACTCACATAACAAAAGTTGATATTAGTAAGCAGGCTCCTGCACGCAATGCAAGTGCAACTGGTTCTAACTTTTCACATCAAAATCTTCTTACAACTCGTTCTCATTTATCGAGATTAGTTCCAAAGCCATAAGTCGGCAAGTGTCAACGCTTTTGCGTGAAACTCGCAAGTTGATCCACGGATAAAGTTTCCGAGAACTCTGCGCGAGCTTCGGAAGTTCGGAAGTTAAGCGACGCGAGCAGAGTGCGAGGGCGGGCGCTCTGGACTGCCGGAGTGCAGCCCTCGGTAGGGCGCCGCGGGCGGGGGCGGGGGCGCGGGCCGCGGGGCGGCAGGGGCGAGCCGGCGAGGGTAGTGCGGCTCGAGCTCACCCGGATCCGACAGTCTTCGGGGAAATTTTGACGAATGACATTTTCGTAATGTTACACTTTGAGAGGAGCACAGCACGAGGGGCGAGGGAGGCTATGCACTCCGCTAATTGCGCTTTTAATGAATACTGATGCGTCGCGGACAAGTGCGGGGGTGATCGAGGGGCGCGGGGACAGGCCCGTAATGAGCGACGAGCAATTTGTGTAATTGCCAAAGTTTTCGTACAGTTCGACGGCAGTTTTATGCCATTCGATTCAGTTTGACGCGACACGGCGCGGCCGCCTGCCTGCCACAGAGGAGCCCAGATATTAAAACATTGTTTCTTTTTATAAAATATTTCGTATATTAATATTTGGATAACAACATACACTCATAGCGGAACTTTTCGCTTACTATGACTAATGTAAAATCACACTTGATTAGCGCACGCATTCCTCCGCGCATACAGGCATAGCGAAGGCGAACTTTGCATTAAAGATTAAAATTAACAACCAAAATTTTATCTTACTAATATTAATAATAATCAGCTAAACTTAGTCCATTTTAATTGATGTAAAACACAGGCTTGTGCGTTCACATATAGTATTTTTTTATAATCTGTATCATTCTTTGAAGTGAACCAATAAAGTGTTTTCATTCATTCATTCATTCACCGCTCAACATTTACTATGGCTCCAAATTTCAGAACACATCCGTTATCATGTCCGAAAATATAAGGATCCTCGTTGTCGACATTTCTGGAACTGTAGAGTTCCGGGGTCACTTTAAAGATAGGTTTGGCCTCCAAAAGGCTCGGGGTGCTCAATAGAGCAAAACGGTACTTCACGCCAAGACAATAACTGTTATTGTACAAGTAGCAAATCCGACCCCTTATGAAGTACTGTTCTCACCTGTGGACCGGAGCTTTTACATACCAGCTTGGTCTTCTTGACCCTATTCAAAGACGAGCTATCAGTATAGTCGACGATCCCAAATTCACAGGCGGTATTTAAATCTAAGGCGAGACTTTGCCTCCCTATGTGTATTCTACTATTTGTATAACGGATTATGTTCTGCGGAATAGTTAAAAATGATGCCCACAGCCACCTTTTATCAATGCACCGCTCGCTATCGACAGGGAATTCATCTTCCGTACGTTAAACCAATAGTTATTAGAATAAAATATAATGTGTGCTTGCGAAACTTTTAACAATAAAATTGAACCTAAATGGTTGCGTACAGTGCACTCAGGCTCTGGAATGAGCTCCCTCCGAAGGTTTTCCTAGAGACTATAGTATGGGGGTTTTACAAAAAGGGTATATTAAGGTTTCTTCAGGATCGGCAACGCGCACATGTGTTGCTGGCATCCATAGGCTACAGTGACTGTTTAGGTACAAAAATGGTAAATAGACGATATCTGTATATGAGAAATATTTAAGAAAAATTTATATAAGGGATCAATAGATGTTAAAAAGATATTGTTTTTAATTTTTGTCCGTCTATTTATCTATCATATATATTTGTTCCGGCATTATGCAAAACTACTACATGAAATTGGATGCAATTTTTAAAAAGTCTAACTTAAAAAGTGGTATATGTTGTATCCTGATACATCACCTAGAGTGATCTTGTTTATTGATTTCTCCACTTCTGAAATCTATATGTACAATGTAATCAATAAACGGTTATAAACAAATACATTTACAAAACAACAATACATTAATTAGATGAGTTCATTACAAACTCACGATATCATTAAACTGATTTTTGTAGCTCAAATTAAAAGGCATAAATCGAAATTATCACTATACGCTGTGGTAATGAGAAAATGTCACGACACCGCACGGTAATTAATTAGTTTTTAAATTAATTACTGATATAGTACCTAAAGTACAATACTAACTAAAATTATATATCACTAAAAAATTATACACTTGTTTTTTTTATAAATTGTTGATTCATTTGTTTTAGAGATTTATACATTGATCATCGTTTCTTCCTTAAATCCGCCAATAAATTGTATAATTTAAATATCAACTCCACTCCATCCAAAGGTTGCCGGGAAGAGATTGCTTTTAGCAATAAAGTCGCCCATAGTTTTTTCACTGTGATCATTTCTTGTAATTGTTTGTATCTTTACTAATAATAAGTTTACTATTGTAATCATTTGGAGGAAACAATAAAAAGTATCTATCTATCTACATTAAGGAATTTCTATAGCCATATACAACCTTATCATAACCTTCATTAATCCGATTACATTCTATTCGACTACAACTATATTTTAATAAACTTACCTACATTATATATTAAAACGTACATTTTATTTATTTATATATAACATAAATAACAAAGGATCACGCGACGCGATAAACACCAATTAGTGCTCGTAGTTCGTAAAATTAAAATGCGAAAATGTATTGGCTACACATTCGCGAACAATTGAATGCATCGCCTCAGATTTGGCAGTGCATTCGTTGCAAAGCCCCAGTGCAATAAAACGAAGCAGTGCAGTGCTGTAAAAAAGTCTATCGTGAGACTATTGCAATAAGGTCGACAGTTAATGTTTGGGTGCACATGCATGCAATAGGGTTAGGGTGGCTAGAAGGGAGTTGTCAGTACATTTGCTTTTAGATTTATCGCGGAGTTGCAGGCCACGCGCGCGCGCACTCGCCGCCTATAATTGATATATCACAGTAGCGATAGCGTTTGGATAATGCTATCGTTCCATGTGAGTCACATTTAAGACCCCATGCCGACGTCTCGCCCCCGTCGTCGCTCGTCGCTCGTCGCTCGTCGCTCGCCGGTCGTCGCGCGACGCGTCAACCCCGAGACACTTACTAACATAACATTCCCTTTTCCGTAATAATATCATAATGTACATTCTATACGCAATTTGTAACATTTCAACATTATCGTTTATCATTCTTTTATGGTAATCAAATTGATATATTGATATAAATTACCCGTGCATTAGGGTGCCTTGTATGATGAAAAGTAAAGTCCTAAACTTTATTATCAAATGTCGTTCCACTAAGCGCTTTACTCGCATATACTTTGGGATAGTATCAAAATAATCTGACACGTAATAGTATTTCCGTTTACTTGAACGCCTCCCAATACCTCTATTGAACATGCTCACATGTCAGCTTGTTTGCCATTTAGAGTAACATTAAAAAGGTTCGCTACAGAACTACAGAAGACCAATTTGTTCGAACTATTTTCAGCATCGATACAGTACTAAGAGTTTCGTATCATATTCAATTGTATACTTAACAAATTGTTAATAATAGACGCCGCAGCGCCGCGACCCTACTTATAGCGTTAAGTGGTTCATAATGGATCAAGATCATATTTAACTTATAAGTAAAAAATAACACGCACGGTAAATAAACGAGAGTGGCAGCAAACTATATGCAATATCAGTTTGTATTTGTAAAAAAAAACAGGTTATTGTCCCACGGTACCCATATACTCAGTACCTCTTCTTCTTCAGTAATGAAAAATAATAAATTGATACAAAAAAGAAACGTACAATGAGAAACGACACCTCATAGTTTTAATTAAAATAATTCAAAATATTTAGCAATTACATTTTATACGACGTAAGTCAATACGAGAGTGCTGAACACTACACAAAAACCTTTACAAACCATCTACAATAGTGAGGTTACAAAAACGTAACTATTTATCTAACAATAAGTTGTCGCCTCCGCGTCTAGAGCAGCAGGTGATGAGGCCTCACCTCACAGCTGCGTAATCAAAATATGTTTGAGCTCAAGAAATAGTCATATACACAAATATTAACATTACTGATTAAGAAAGTTTTTAAACATTTTGTCTTCCTGTTTAATATTCACTAGTTGTGGGAGAAATTCTAATATATCTTGCATACAGTATGGGTGCCTTTTCTTTCGATAACGTTTTGTAATTGGCTAAATTGCACCAAAGTTTACAAAAGGCAAAAAAATAAGGAATAAAGTTACTCAGTATAGAAAATCGCTTTCTAATAATAATTATAATGTATTTTATTATCAAAGTATGTTTGTATAAACACAAAATTTATTATTGATTCTTACACTACACTAGGCTGAGCTAGTCCTGTAGGAAACAGGCGTCGTATTACCATATACGAACGTGCTTATAGAAAATAACATAGGCTTTCTAGTGCTACTAATTAATATAAAGTAGTTATTCTTATTTAAAATTCACTACTAGTGAATTATAAATAAAAGACGATCAACTCAATTACGCAGGTAATAAAAATAAGTTCAAAGTTTTAGTTCGTACAAACATAATTTTAATAATCCATCAGTGCCTATCACCCTGTCCAGGCTTATCTGATGAGCATCACACGAGCGGTGCGTGTGGTGACGGTCAGGGATAACAATCTAGAAATTCAAAGTGCAGAGATAATACTGCGCGTAGCGTAGTGAGGTGCGCGCGAGCGTGTGGTGTGGATCCGATGCGGCCGTGGCTCCGTGGGCGCGGCGTGGCGGGTGCTGTTAACGAGCCAATTGCTCGCGTGCTGCCCACTTATCAGCACTGTAATCTAGACAATACCAACTACATAATATCAAATTATAAACACGATACGATTATGATCGTTATTAACAGCTTAATCTATATCTTGTTTTCAATTTATTAAATATTCTGCCTATGATACCTGTATGCAGTAAACGCCGCGTGCCCACGTTATACTATTCCTTGTGTAAACACATGTTGTCGTTACTGTGAATATGCATAATATTCATATCCAATATCTTTATTAGTTCCAACATGCCATTATTATCATATAAACCATTATCTGTCCACTGCTGAAGGCCTCCCCCATAGCATACCATAAGGAACGATCTTGAGCCACCTGCATCCACTTACCTCCATGCATTTTGAGGTTGTCACTCTATACGTCCTACACTTTTGCGTGTACTGGATAACCACTCAAAAACCTTTATTCTCTAACAGTTATCGGTTATTCGAGCTATGTGACCAGCCCATTGCCACTTTAGTTTACTTGTCTTGGACTATTATGAGAAATTATTCATTCTTATAGCCAAAGTAGCCTAGCTTGCAGCTTATTAACCTAAAATCCTATTAAATTATATGAAATTTTAGCACTCGAATATTATAAAGATTCGTATTGCAAAAATTATACATATATTGGCCCAATAACAAATATATCAACTATCGGTTATCCAATATATAATATAGAAAAGAACCCGCTCGTAATGAATATAGATCCCCAACTGATATGAGCGATATCGCAATGGGTGGTCATCAGTGACCTGAAGGACTTAATATACAGATATTGAGTTTTTACCCATCTCTACCCTTGGGTGTAGCGAGTTTGAGACGGCAAAGTGCGGCCACAGCGTCCATTAATCGGCGTCACCGCGACAATAGCTGCCGACGAGCGGCCGCGAACGAGCCGCGCCCCACCCCCGCCCCTCACGCATCCCGGCAACTCGACTGACTGCTAGTTGATCGTAACTATCTAGTAGTTGCTATGTTTTAAAACCTCTCCTTAGATTATAATTAAGTATATAAAACATTTGAATCCATTTTACATTTAGCTATATCAAGACAAAACTCAAAGTTAAAATATTATAAAGTTGAACATTCTCCTAAGAGCTCAGTCCAATATATAACAATATTTTTTTATCATTTCATACAAGAAAGCAAAGTTCAAAAGTTAATTGAATGGTATTAATGACTTGGTAGACCGGGTGGGAGAAAGTAACAAAACAATTGTTGAATGTTGAAAATGTTATAATAGACCGTAAAATAGAGCTAAAAATTAACAAAATTTAATCATCACAGGAATGTAGGCCGGGCCCGATGCAGGCGGCGTAGGCCATGAGGTGCGGGATGCGGCTCTGCTCGTACATCCCGGTGAACAGGTGGTGGTAGGGACCGAGCGCGAACACCGCCACGTCGTCGCCGCCGTGCGTCTCGTCCTCCAGCAGTACCTCCGCGTGCGTCATCCAGTCCAGATCACCTGCAGCAACACATAAACAGATGTACTCGTGGATAGAGCTAGACAGATTGGAAAAGCCAACTAATTATAGGTGCCTACTCCTTCTACTCCATTACGCCAAGGGGAAATATAGCCCGTGCAACTGGAAAATACAAGTTCAAATACTGTAATGGTATTTCATCTTTGTTTGTACGTTAATACAAAATTGACATTAAAAATGAGCAAGAGTACTAAAATTAAAACCACTTATATGATACTCGTATCATGCGACAGATACGTATTTAGTTTTTACAATTAGAAATGAGGAGTATTTTGATAAAAAATTCGAGAATGAAGAAAAAATAGATTTTCTTAAAGCAATAGATAACCTAGATTGTGGAAGATTGCGTAGTCCTATCTGTTAAAATAATCTGGAATATAGAGTCTTCTAGAACTGTTCATAGACTTTTGAAACTAGTAATAATAAGCACTATAGTACTTTAATAATAGCAATCAAATTACCAAAATCTTCATCAGCAGTAACATCCACGCGCTTGCCGTTCACATGCGAGCGCGCACCAGGTCCATTTGCATAAGAAAGTGTCATGTATGGCAGCCCGTCATCACCGAGATCATCAGACGGCCCGAGGATATTACCGCCACGTCGCGTGTATCCATTGAAAGACATAACATGTGCGTGGTCAGAGGTCACGACGATCAGCGAGTCCTCATCTGATAATAACTCAGTAGCGCGTCGTACTGCCGCCGCCATCTCGATGGTCTCATCCAGTGCATGATGCACTAAGTTATCGTGGTGTCCATGATCAATGCGACCTCCCTCGACGAATAGAAAAAAGCCATTATTGTTACGGTTTAAGGAACGAATTGCTATTTCTGTCATATCAGCGAGGGAGGGTTCCATAGTAGGATCTGCTTTCAAATTATATTTCATATGGCTTCCCTCAAACAGGCCCAGTAAATATTCTGGAGGTGATAACGACAGTTGTACAAGCTCCTGTCTATTCCATACATACTTGTGGCTCACATTGCGGGATATTTTATCCTCTATCCATTCATTTATAAGATTTCTACCATCTAATCTTTTGCCTTGGGTTCCTTCTTCGTCTATAATAGTATTAGGCAAAAATTCTCGTCTTCCGCCTCCTAAAATAACCTAAAATAATAAAAAGTCATGTACATTTAAGAATTTGATTACCAATGGAAATATTACCAAGACTCAAAGAAGAAAACATAAAAAAGAAGCCAACCTTAAAGTGTGTTCCAGGATAGTTGTGTACTAGTTGTTCAGCAATGTCAATAGGCACATCTTGTGCTGAAGCACAGTCGTCTAGGACGTCGGCATCACTCTCCCAGTCGCGCTCGGCCGTGTGCGCGTACACGCCTGCTGGAGATGCGTGAGTTATGCGAGTCGTGGTGACTATACCTATAACGAGCATAGCAATCATTATTAATTCCAATTTGTAGGATTAAATCCAAATATGGATAGTGTTGAGAGCGCCACTATCTATAAATTGATTGTTTATACTTTTATATATTTTTGTATATGTACTTTACAAAGGGTTTAGTCAGGTTTACTTAATGATTTGTGCAGAGATACAATTATTATTTTGTTTTAATTCCAAAGTTGATATTAGATGGCACTCTGTTCTAAAACACGCTATAATTTAATTTCCTAGAAGTCAGGCTCTAGTATTGTAGATTTTAAATATTTAGTACTTACTGTGATTTTTTTTTTTACATTATACTCATTCTTTTGTATATGGTGTTTCATTTCGGGGATTTTTCGTGCTATCTGATACCGCGCCGCTTACCCCATCAGATAGAAATAAAAAAAATATTTAATGTCACTCTGTCTGCTGCTACTCTTTATAATCGGTACTGAATGACATTTGTTTTTTATATCAACAATGTATTACTATCTATTATTGTAAGTGTTTGCTAAAAAGCTACATCACCATAAGAAATCCAGACATCATTAAACATTATTAAACATTGGAAAAAAATCTGAGTAATATTAAATAAAAAGATATTCCTCTATATTTGTATTGAGTTTGTGTAAATTTGTTTCTATTCAGCTAGAAATAAAAAAAATATTTAATGTCACTCTGTCTGCTGCTACTCTTTATAATCGGTACTGAATGACATTTGTTTTTTATATCAACAATGTATTACTATCTATTATTGTAAGTGTTTGCTAAAAAGCTACATCACCATAAGAAATCCAGACATCATTAAACATTATTAAACATTGGAAAAAAATCTGAGTAATATTAAATAAAAAGATATTCCTCTATATTTGTATTGAGTTTGTGTAAATTTGTTTCTATTCAGCTGCAATAGTTACCTGCATCTTTTCCGGCGGCGAGTGCCCATTCAGCAATAGAATGGACGTAATTTTCTGGATTGACGAATGAACAATTGGTCCGTAATATATCAGCAGTTACTCCTAAAGTGCCTCTATTTGCTTTAGAACCGCATAGATACGCTGTAGCCGAGCATGCCGAGTCGGCGATTTGGGCGTCTACACAGTATGTCTGTGTTTACAAAACAATACATCAATATAGTTATAATTACTTACAGACTTCACAACGAAAATATTGTACATACTTTTGATAATCCTATAGTAGGGAACGATTCGAAAAACAGCTGTGTCTCCTCTCCAGTGCGGCCTTCTCTCTGCCCCAGCAGAGTCCTCGCGGCCGCCAGCGTCGGCACCGACATGCCATCTCCCAGGAACATAATTACATTGCGCGCCTTGTTCACATTGTCTTTATAGCGACTAGATTCAATACCTTGCCACGCCTCCTTCGCCCAAAAATTGGGATCTGATTCTTCCTTATTCCTTACAGTTGGATATCGAGAAGACTTGTGATAAACATCTCTTTCTGCGAATAAGTATGTGATAGTTGATAATCTTAAAGGTAATAATTAATAGTGATAATTTCCTCTCTACACTGATACTCGCTCATCTGTTAAATTTATAACTGTGTAAGCTGTTATTTATACTATGAATTTACTACATAATTATATAAAAGAAATTTTACCCCTCGAAATTATATAAATAGAACCCCATCACCACGGTCGCTCTTTTTCCTATACCATAAAAATGGATTTGTTGAACTGGAATGAAAAAATGCTTTATCTAAACACTTAACAGAATATTTTTGTTCTGAGAACTACTTATACCAGAGTCACGAAAATATCTATATTAAAATTACTTAGTATTAAATCAAATAAATTGATCGAGTACCCGATGCGAAATGAAAATATATCAAGAAACAAAGTAACAAGTAATTGCTACTCATGTCAGAACTTCTGTATACAGTTTAAGCATGTTAATGAATCATTCACAACGTAGAAAAGTATCTCGAGGAATAATTAATTAATATAATTTCAAGAGGTAACTTCTTTAGGTCAAATTCGTATTTGGTAAGTCATGTTTATTGTGAACTTACCAAAAGATGGATGCAGATGGACAACAAAGAGTGCCAACAGTAATAAGACACCACGACCCATAGCACTCTGCGAACACTGCGGAACACTTCAAATTTATGTAGAAATATTTAATATTTGCCTGACGATAACTAACGCGAAACTGAGCACAGATCGTCAGCATCGCATCCTCTGAGATATTTATCATTTCATCAAATTCACTATGATAAATTTCGATAAAACAATGGCACTTCTTGGAATAAAATTAGACATCTACGTGTCGCGAAAACTGTATGGTTCTCAGGTAAGTTTTATATGTATTTTTTTGTTAATTAAAAATTATCCAGGAGCTGCAATAAGTACCGATCTACTCGTCGAGGCACGATATCGCCAGTATGAGACTGTAATTGTCACAAACGTTGGCGTTGCTGATCATACCAATATTCCCGAGTGAATCTCTTGAATATATATTTTATTTTATAACTGTAATAACTTTTTGCCCGCTACTTCATACGCATGGATTACAAAACTAAAAAAACATCAGCAATGAAAACCACTTGTAGAAACACTATCTAGATGACACATGCACCAGATATTCATCAACATTTAAGTTACACCTCCAGAAACACAACCGTGAACCATATCCAATATCGTGCAATAGTTTTTGCATGATGCCGTAACAAACATACGGAAAGACGGAACGATAAACAGGCAGAATTTTTTTTGAAAAATATTTTATTAATATCTATTGATTTTATTAAGACTTAATATTATTTATCTTAAATGGAAAATCCCATGTATAGACATCGTCCAGTCACAATTTTATTACATAATAAGATACGATATGCCCTTAGTTCACTCAAATCCACACACATGTGGATTCAAGAATAATTTATCTTCTCCTTAATTAATTATAAAGGGGATCCAAAAATTCTAATAACTCTACTATATCGTTACGATCCACATATATGTGGATTAATATGCATCGTTCATACAAGTCCATCATTCGTTTCCATTTGCATTAAAGTATTACAAATGATTGGTTTTATTACAAATTCCTACTCTGTATATCTCATATATGTTATTTATCGTTGTAATTGTATAAATAATGTAATGAATTTAATTCCACATTGAGTAATACGACGATCTCAGTGTAAATGATGAATATCAAAAACGGAAACGCCTACCAGCGCTCGGCTGAACATTCGAACTATCTAATGATAATCGCGTTCACTGAGGTGCTAACAAATTTCACAAACCAGAATATTAAGCCCCAATTTACATTACGCATTACTAGTGGCATGAAACCAGTTTCACGACATTAATTTCACCAACAATTTCACGTATAATTTCATATTGTATACATTGCTTTTACAAAGCCAAAACAATCTCGTCATTCGCGACACTTAGTTCACGAAATCATTTTTAAATGTTCCGAATTAAATATTTGTTAAAAACTAGCCCTTTGTCGCTTCTTCGCCCGCGTAGATTTCGGAAGTATGAATGTAATGTGTGAATACCGATGAAATGGACCACTTCTAGATAGCGATAACACATACACCAGTTTTAAGTAACAGGGACAGGAACATAATTATTAAAAGCGCACACAACTTCGTGCGGAAATTTTTGTCTGATGCCGGAATACATACACATAGACAGACAAACATAATTTCTACAATAGATGCCAAAACATAATAAAAAATATGTTTTTGGCATCTATTGGTCTAATTAAAATCCTTTATACTGTATTATTTTTCTTATTTAACGTCTTCCACGTACAAACATCGTGCAGTTACAACTTTATTACATTAGTAAGAAAGAATAATTTTGTCATTAAAATAATTTGAATACTTTTTAACTACTATTGTATTTTAAACTTAACCATTTTTACAAAACTTTCAGAAGAATCAATAATGGTTACAGTGACATTTTCCTCGTATTGTATGTGTATCGTATAAAGCTGTATTGGACCGAGCAATAGAAAAATGTAGTTTTCTCGTGCCAATTTTGCTGGATCATTAACTGGCGCCGCGTAGGTACCCGGCGACGGCGCAACGAGACGTTTATTGGCCGACTGCTTCGCGCACCTAATGGAGCTTTGATGAAAAATGAACGCGCCCTCTTATTGCCGCGTGTCGACACCGCGTCACCGCGTCACCACGACACCACGACACCGCGCTACACTATTCCTTGTTACAAAATAAAACCATTTCTAGAGATTATAAAGTATTTATAGTCACCCGAACTCAATTAGATATGTCAGTCCATCACTGCCTATCACTCAAAGCCCTATCAGTTCCCTAAACAAGTTCCAAGTACAATTCAAAATTTCTTCCTGTTTAAAAACATACTTTATAAGGTTCTACTATCAATTAAAAATCTATTTAAAAATATTCTAAACACTGCATTACATTTTGGAATCCTGACTATACCTATCGTCAGTTTACATATTCAAAATAGCAGCGTTCTCTTTGCACCTGATCCATTATCATTATTATGTTGAAGTAATAACATTTGAGCAGTAGGATGTTTGAAAAGGAACACTTTTTTAAGTAAATGTAATAATTTTTAATTGCCGTATATAATTCTACAGTCTGTTTTACAATTCTACAAATTTTTTTTTTTTTTTTTTAAATATCATTGTATTCATTTGAATACAATAATATTCTTAAAAACTTTGAATTTTTGAATTTTCAAATCATCTTTATTCCATTTGAGTTATTTACAAGCAATTTTAAATCTTTATTTATTATGAATCTACTGCAAGGCTTGAATGTTGTTATCTGCTGAGAAGAATTATCAAGAAACTTACTCTTTTAAACTTTGTTAACATTCTCTATATTTATTTAAATATGCTATCCAAATTACATGGTTTGTTTGTCATGCAAGTAATTGTTTAGATTGTAATAAACTTTGGTTGATAAATGTATCTTAATAATATTTTCAAATTTAATAAAAGTTAGATCCAAGATATCCTTTGGTATCTTATTATAACACCTAATAATATAATGTCCATTCCCATACAAAACTTATTAACTTTTTCAATGTCGAACCAATGCAAAAGACGTAGCAAAGCCCTATTTACATCATCATAATTTTAAGTCTTTTTGTAAAAATTAAAAATCAAGTGTCGTCTTCAAAAAATAATTTACTGTATTGTACTCAATATAGATACATGGATTTAATATATAAAAGGCCAAAGTTAATTAGGAATACAATTTTTTATTCTCCATTTTTATGACAATTTTATTTATTCTTTATTTGAAATTAAAAAATATAATAAAAAGTTTTTATGCCAGTATTAATTTTTGTTGGAGTTTCCAACATGCTCGCCACACCAGCGGTTTATTAGTGGATAAATTACCAGAACAGTAACATGTGCTACACAATATATAACATATAACAGAAAATGTCTTTACTTCATACTAATACAACTTGCATAAACATAACAGAACCATAAAAATATTACAGTTGATGGTTATATTAGTAAATCCAATATTGTGGGTGATGCCCAATTACATTACAATAAGTATAACAATAACAAATTGTATAAATAACTAAACAATTACAAATAACATATTCTTACTTCTCTTTATCGTTATACATTAAAAAAAGAAGAAAAAGAAAGCAGTTTAAAATGAGCAAATAATAATTAAATCTAGGCATCATTTACTCGTATAGGAAGAATACATATACCAGATAAGGAACGTTTATAAGTTTTACCATTAGGTGTTACAACTTCGAAAGCTCTAACCTTCCCATCTCTACCTGGAAAAACCTTACTTATCCTAGCCATAGGCCAGTGCAAAGGAGGATTTTTTGGGTCCTTGAGTATCACCAACATTCCTACTGTTACATTAGGATAACTCTTTTGCCATTTGGATCTAAACTGCAAAGCATTTAAATAGTACTTATGCCATATTTTCCAAAAACATTGTTTTAAATGTTCACATTGTTTCCAAAAACTTAGTCTATTAATAGGTAAATCTGATACATCATTTTCAGGATAAGCTACAATAGCATTACCAGTCAAGAAATGACCGGGAGTTAGATAACTAAAATCCGTTATATCAGATCTCATAGGTAAAATAGGCCTTGAATTTAAGACACCCTCTATCTGAACTAAAATTGTGTACAATTGCTCATATGTTAACAAAAGCTTTTGTAAAATCCTTTTTAAATGAAATTTGGTACTCTTGACAGCAGCTTCTGCCAGGCCAGCAAAAGTAGGTGAATAACTGGGTATGAAGTGAAATTTCACCCCTTGCTGCGCTGCATACGCTTGTATTCGCGTTTGATGACCCTTGGAAGCTTGGAGCCGGTAAAGTTCAACAAATTGGTTCGCCGCACCCTTGAAAGCACCTCCATTATCAGCGAAAATTTCACTGGGAAGGCCACGTCTCGAAATGAACCTTTTAAAACAGGCGAGAAAGGTTTCGGTGCTCAAATCTGAAGCTAGTTCAAGATGAACCGCCTTAGTTACGAAACAAACAAATACACATATATAACCTTTAGTTTCGATTGCACGTCTGACTCTAGAATTCTTAACTCGAAGTGGACCGGCAAAATCTACGCCAACGGTCTGGAAAGGCCTACAGGCAGTAACACGTTGATATGGTAGCGAACCCATCAGTTGCTTTGCCGCCTCTGCCTTCAATTTAAAGCAAACAAGACATCTATAAGTTATTTTCTTAACTTGTCGCATGCCATTAATCAGCCAGTACCTTTGATTAAGACTCGAAAGGAGCAACTTCGGACCTGCATGAAATAATCTAATATGTTCATTCTGAATTATAAGTTCGGTTATTCTCGATTGCTTCGGTAAAACAATAGGATGTTTCTGATTATAAGATATTTCAGCATTATGAAGCCTTCCACCTACCCTTATTAGACCGTGCTTATCCAGGAAAATATGAAAAGGTTTTAAAATACCCTCTACATCTTTGCTTTCAGTCAACGATTTTATTTCCTTGCTAAAATGGATACTTTGTTCGTGTTTAATAATGTTTTGCGATGACTGTTGCAATTCTTTTGTAGTTAAATAATTACATTTAATCTGATCATTTTTATTTTTAAGATTATGACAAAATCTTAATATGTAGGCTAACACCCTGATCATTTTATTTATATCCGAGTACTTATCTATAAGCTGATAGATATCACTCTTTATTTGTGTTGAGAGGTATACTACCTTAGAGGAATCTACAGCCGCACCAGAATTCTTCAATTCAGGTAAGTCGATAGGTAAGGAAGCCTTGTTTGTAAAATTGTACCTATTGTCTTTTAGAAAGTCTGGTCCGTCCCACCATAGAGAGCAAGATGTTAATTCTTTTGGATCTATACCTCTACTTATTAAATCGGCTGGATTTTCCTTTGTGTTAACATAATTCCATTGAAATTGTACAGTTTTTTCTGTAATCACTTTTACTCGGTTAGCCACATATGCTTGTAAATTAAAAATATCAGTATTCAACCAACCTAAAACAATCTTAGAATCGGTAAAGAGATAAACACTATCAATTGAAAGTTTGAGCTGTAACGTTTCATATGTCCTCCGTAATAGACTTGATAGCAATAAGGCCGCATTCAACTCTAATCGTGGTATCGTTATTGGTTTCGAAAACGAATTAATTCTGGACTTCGCACATAAAAGAAACATGCGCACATTACAATCAGAGTCTACCGTTCTAAGATATACACAGCATCCGTAGCCTATTTTACTTGAGGCATCGGCAAAACCGATCAATTGAACAGCCTTAGAACCTAATGGAATTGGTATATTTCTATTAATATGAATAGGTTCCATTGCCTTGAGACCGTCAATAAAAAACAACCATTCTTCTTTAACATGATCGGAGGGAGAAGCATCCCAACTAATACCTTCAGCCCACAGTTTCTGCATAATAATCTTAGCCTTTACTATAATTGGACACACAAATCCAAGTGGATCATAAAACTTAGCAATACAGCTTAAAATTGACTTTTTTGTTACCGATTTTATATCAATAGTTTCTGGGCATGTGATATTAAACCAATCATTCTTTACATCTAGATTTAAACCTAATACTTTCATGGTATAATTATCCTTTTGCAACTCTAGCTCGTCAAAATGTTGTTTACTAATTGGAACATCAGACAAAATTTCTGGATCATTAGTTGACCATTTATGTGTTTCAAAACTTCCTTTTTGTAGCAAAGACTGTAATTGTTGCTTAGCTTCTTTTATTTCACTAAGATCTGATGACGAATAGAGGATATCATCGACGTAAGTACAGTTTCGCAATATAAATGAAGCTATAGGAAATTCTTGACCAAATAGTTCAGTAAGTTCGAGTAAACAACGAGTTGATAAATAACTTGAACTTTTCATACCGTACGTAACAGTATTTAAACGTATACATTTTATTGCCTCATCAGGATTATTTCGCCAAAGAATATTTTGAAGAGCCCTGTGTTTGGGATTCACCAGAATATTCCTAAACATACGCCTTATATCCGTGGAAAACGTATATTTACCAATTCGGAACAATAAAATTACATCAAAAAGCTCTTTCTGGACTGAAGGCCCATTCAGTAATAAATCGTTTAATGAAACCTTTTTATCCGTCTTCATTGAGGCATCAAAAACGACTCTTGTGCGAGTAGTTTTACTCGATTCATTAATGACCGCATGATGCGGTAAAAAATATACAGCATCTTTGTCAAAATCATAGAAATCAAAATTAATAAAATCGCCATGACCTAGCTCTACATATTCATGAATAAATTTATTATATTCTGACAATAGATTAATATTATTTTGTAAACGCCTTTCCAAACTTAAAAATCGATACCAAGCTAAAACAAAAGAATTGCCCAAGTAATTATGAATTTCATTATCCTCGACTTTAAGAGGTAAATTCACCTGGAATCTATTATCAATCAATTCTACAGAATTCTGAAAGATAGTTTCAGCTAACTCTTGTTCACTTTGATTCTCAGAAAAGGTTTGTGGTATACTCTCAGCTTCCCAAAATAATTTGATATTATCATTGATTTCAGGATCGCATTTAATACATAATAGTGATGTTACCTGTTTTGAAGCTTGCTGATATTCAAGCATTGAACCACCAATAATATATCCAAAACGTGTATTGATAATGCAGGGCGTAATGTCATCTTGACTAGGTAGCGGCCGGTGCAGATTTCGAGACCACGGTCGCTCAGGCTCATTGGGCATTATCACATGGAAAAATATGTCAGCACCCATTAAGAGATTTATTTCAGATGGAACATCAAATTGATCATCTGCCAACACTATATTGGGAGGTAATTTCAATTGCCGAATATCAAGTTTTGTTTGTGGATGCTTGCAGGTAATTTTTTCGACCACATAAAAATTGGCAGTCATATTAAAAGAAGAATTAACAGAGTGTATGTTTAATGGAATACAATATCTTGTATTATTCTGAGCATTGCCTACGCCTATTATATTTGTATTGTTGGGTGTTGGAGTTAAACCCAATTGCTGGATTAACTTGCTCGTAGCGAGGGAGGCTTGTGAACCTGTATCTAAAATCGCCTTCACTATTATCGTCTTTTTATCCTTTGTGAATAATTTCACTTTTACTGTGGGAAGCAAAACATTAGAATCGTGGCCCTTGGATAATAAGGAAACAGGACCTTCGTCACATTCGTCATGATGAACTAGTGAATTGTGTGCCTTTTTACACTGATCGCATTTGAAATGAAATTTGCATTTTCCATTGTGCTTATTCAAACAAATCAGACATAACTTATTATCTTTACAGAATTTATAGCGTTCCACAGAAGTTATTAATTTGAATGTATTACAGGAAAATAATTTATGATTGTTAGACTTACAGTAATGACACGTCACCACTTTCTCACCAGCAGCCGCTACGTTGACTGATAAACCCTTGGCCTTGGTAGATGGCATCGCAGTTGACGGCGCAGCGTTCTCCAATGCAAGTGCCCTCTTCTCAAGATACTCGATGAAGTGCTTGACGCTGTGTTCCTCGGCAATATCTCTTTCCATTTGATACGACCGAGCCGTGTATGTATCTAACTTACGATTAAGAATACAAACAATTATTGGATCCCAAGTTTCAACCTTCACATCTAAATTTTGCAGAGCAGCCAAAGTCTGCTTAAGACTCGCTACAAAATTTCGAATGTTTTCAGGGGTTGATTTGACAAGCGCAGGTAAGTCTAGTAATTGACCAATATGTTCATTTACAATACGATACCTATTGTTATATCTCTCGTCTAATAATTGTCTAGCTTGATCATAGCTACTGGCTGTTAATGGTAAGTTCTTAATAAGATCATACGGTTCGTTTTTTAAATAAGACCTAAGATAATACAACTTCTGAACATTATCTAATGTTAAGTCATTATGAATCAATGAAGTAAACAATGATTGAAACGCTACATATTCAACATAATTACCAGAAAATATGGACATTTGAATCGCGGGTAACTTAGTTTTCGATCGTGCAATAGTATTAACATGACTTTTAGAGTCCTCTACACAAGAAGTCTTACGGCTAATCACTTCATTAAGAACGGTAAGAGTATATAGATATTTATCTTCAACAGCTGCTACGTCCTCGTCATCATCTGGTCGCATTGAAAGAATCCGCATATTAAATCCTTCATATTCACGGAAGGCTGTGAGCAGTCTTTCTTTACGCGTTGTAATGGCCTGTAAGGTACTTTCTTCTAATTCAGACTCGTTGCTAACAAAACTGTGAAGACGAGTAATCGCCCCTTTAACATAGCCTCGCGAGGCGCGTAGTGAAGTTTCACTATCAGTGGCCATTGCACGACGATTGCCACAAAATTAAAATATGTAGATGTTATGGAAAATGTTCAAATGTATTTATTGAATATAATAATCGTAGTTCCCACCTCGTGTCATGAATGAATTTGCCGCTGTTCGATGTATATTTTTCTCGCAGGTCAACTGAGATAATCGTTTGTCGTCGTCTATATAAAACTCTTAATTGACAACTAAAGAAATTGTAGTTACCACTCGGAGAAATATATAATATTTACTTGTAGACTTCAACAAAATTGCAATCGCCTGTCGAACGCACGGAGGAGAATAGATTTCATATATGTTGTATTCTTGAAACAATGGCGCTTCTCGTATCCACGTATATTGAACTGAGATTTTTTGTAATTCGCTGTTTCTTGCCTTACGATGCTCGAAATGGACCAAATTTGTATTGTACTCAATATAGATACATGGATTTAATATATAAAAGGCCAAAGTTAATTAGGAATACAATTTTTTATTCTCCATTTTTATGACAATTTTATTTATTCTTTATTTGAAATTAAAAAATATAATAAAAAGTTTTTATGCCAGTATTAATTTTTGTTGGAGTTTCCAACAGTATGGGGGATTTTTTTTTTAATATAAACTAAAAATAATAATGGGCCAAGAATAGACCCTTAAGGGACACCCATTCGCACAAGAGATCAGTTACATGTAATGCCGTGTAATTTTTTTTTTTTTTTAATATGTTATAATTGAGTTTAAAATATTGTCTTTAATACCACACAAAGCTATTATTTAAGCAATCTATGGAGTTATGCCTATGATAGTGCATGCAGTGCAATATGAAAATAGTTTGTTTATAAGAACATTTATTAATTGTCCATTTAGCACTGTCAGTTTAGCAATGCAGGCGGCGTACGCCATGAGGTGCAATTTCGAGATTCACAGCTTTACCAGTGAGAATTCTATTAAAAAGTGTCTACCATAGGATTAACCTTATACTCGTATGTACCTACCTGCCAAGTATTCAAATTTATTCAGCCGTCAAACGTCATTAAATAAAAAACAACCAAACAGCTTTACTAAGTTTCACATTTATAATATTAGTAGGTTTTTATATTTGGGCAATATTTGACAGTATTTCTGTTATTATAATATTACTGCTTACAAATTGTCTCAGCTATACTATTACAGTTACAAACAAATGGTTTCCCTGTCATAATATTTGTTTGCACAAACCATTATCTACGCAAAATCGAAGTGCGCCGACACAGATTGTCCGCACTACGGCGCAAGTGTGCCTGGCTACAACTAAGAATACACCTTTGGGCTACGATGGCAGCAACATTTTGTTTTTCATATCAAATAAAAAAAAACTCTCTGTGCTTTAATACCGTACATTATGAGGTATAGTACGTTATACTGAGTCTATTTATTTATTTATTCATTAGTAATATATATGAATAACAAATATACTTACACATATTATTTGATATGATTTGCTCAAATCTCTATCATACATTTATTTTATATTGAAAATACATCAAAGCTTCACTTTACATTTGGATACGAGTTAATATATACAAAAAAACTTACGTTTGGGTATATAAGAAAAATATGTTTAAAATACATTATTAGGTATGTGTAAACTCAAATTTCATACTTCAAACATAGCGTTTAGAATAGACTCTAGATATTATATATATCATTAGGCCATAATTTTTGGGAGAGTAATAATAAATGAATACCAGAGTATATTATTATAATATAATATTCTTAGGTATACGAAATAATAATACATAAAATACCTTATAAAAGGAATTGATATCAGAGTAAATATTGATGAGCTTGCTACTATTTACTTAGGTTTGTTTACATTGTGATGTGTGTTTACATATGAAAAGTTTCGATACCGCGAAATGATAAATTACTGATATAATATAGCAAAGGTGGCAAGTATCAAACATAATAACAATATATTTAGAGAACTATGGTAAACCACTGAAAGAAGTGGCGGCGTTGCAGTAGTGCAGGCCGGGCCCGATGCAGGCGGCGTAGGCCATGAGGTGCGGGATGCGGCTCTGCTCGTACAGGCCCGTGAACAGCGCGTGGTGCGGCCCGCGCGCGAACACCGCCACGTCGTCCGCGCCGTGCGTCTCGCTGCTCCGCGGTACTTCTGCATGAGTTCTCCACCGCAAATCGCCTAGCAATAAAGAGTTCCATTATTTGTAAACTCAGAATAAGTATCATTGATTATGTTTATCATACGAACTGGTTACCTCTTTTTCTTTTTTCTTATTTTTTATTAAAATACATATCTATAAGATACTGTGAGAAATGTGTCCTGTAAAATTCTTATGTTATAAAATATATCTTTCCCAGATTTTCATTCAAGGTAACATCAAAAAAGGCAACAAATATTTCCAGAAACGGTTCAGTAGATCGACAGATTACCCTTTACATACAAAAATAGAAATCTTTATGTACAATTCTTATTCATGACAATAAAATGTTTATACAAAAATATTTAACCGTATAGACCGCCTGACCATGAGCGGTTACCGCAACCGTAACGCTGCAATATAATGCATATAAAATGATTAATTCTTATCTCTCCTTTGTCATATTATATGAACTATTCAAAGCTAAATATCTCCTCTTAATAAATAATACAGGTACAAAATTTCTATCTAATTCTATCTGTAATAATATACAGAAAATGTTTACTCAAATACTTCGACGATATATGTGTACTGTATGTACCTGTACTTACAGTCTTAATGTACTCGTAATTATTTAGTATTATTTATATTTTATGAACCCTCGAGATACATCAGTCATGTTACACATATAATTATCATTATCTTACCAAAGTTTTCATCCGCTGTGACATCAACTCGAGCTCCACGCGCGCCAGGTCCATTTGCATATGCGACGGTCATGTACGGTACGCCATCACTGCCCTGCTGATTAGAACGCCCAATGATACTGCTTCCCCGTGGTGAATACCCGTTAATGGTCATGACGTGGGCATGATCAGCGGTAACTACTACGAGGGAGTCGTCCTCGGAGAGCATCTCGGTGGCGCGCTGCACCGCCGCGTGCAGCTGGATCGTCTCGTCGAGCGCCAGGTGCGCGTAGTTGTCGTGGTGTCCGTGGTCAATGCGGCCGCTCTCCACGAACAAGAAGAAACCCTTTTCGTTACGACTTAGAGATCTTATTGCAATTTCAGTTAACTCGGTGAGTGTTGGCTCCGTAGTAGTGTCTGCTTCTAAATGATATTGCATGTGAGAACCTTCAAAGAGGCCTAAAAGATATTCTGGCAGTGACTCAGATATGTTCATCAATTGCTCTCTATTCCATACATAGTTGTAACTGACATTTTGTGATGCTCTTAGTGATTGCCACTCCTCAATAAGATTACGTTCATCCGTTCTTCTACCTCTCGTATTTTCCTCATCTCGTATTGTATTTGGTAAAAATTCACGCCTTCCACCACCTAAGATTACCTATACATATAAAAATATATTTACATTAAAAATAATAATCGTGTATATTTTTCGTCACTTGTCCATAGTCAAGCCATACCTTAGTCGCACGCTATATCATTAGTTATCTATTAATAATAATTATATACACACACGCACACGCATACGCACACGCACACACACACGCGCACACACGCACACACACACACACACATATATATATATATATATAATCTAATACAACATGTAGAACATGTATCTTGCTGACTTCACTTAGTTATTGTTTTAAGAAATAATTCGTTTCTGTATTATAAATTTTAATAGTAGCACGTTAATAATAAGAAACCGAATTGTAATTTACCTTAAATTGGTTCCCTGGATACATATGTATAAGCTGGTGAGCGATATCACGACAGAGTAATGGATCCTGTCTATCTTGTACAATGCTATTGTCATTTTCCCAATTTCTATCAGCCACTTTAGCGTACGCACCGGCCGGGGATGCGTGCGTGATACGCGTCGTTGTCACAATACCTGTATAATAAACAATTATATTGTAGACACACCACTTATGGGTAACAGTTAAGTTTAATAAGTGCCTAAGGTGCAGTGCGGCCACATACCAACATCGCGGCCGTCCTGCAGCGCCCACTCGGCGATGGAGGCGACATGGGTGCTGTTGTCGAGCGACGCGACGCAGTCCCGGCGCGGCACCGCCGCCGTCACGCCGATCGTGCCGTAGTTGCCCTTTACGCCGCACAGGTACGCGGTCGCCGTGCACGCCGAGTCCGGTATTTGTTGATTTACACAGTACGTCTGAAATATTGTAATTGATGAATAAAAATTCAAGCCACACGGATCTTACAAATTGGCATGAACTATCGCAATCGGCGGAAATCGCCTAAACAACTAAATTAAGCCAACATAGCGGAGATATTAAAAGAATGTAAAGAATCCCTAGTAAGAAATTATTGTTACGATTTAAATGTATTCCTGTTTCAGTTAGAAAGCTAATAATGTTCGTATTTAAGACATAGAAAGAGTTCTTAGTACCTATAATATTTGACCAGAGTAATATATATGTCCACACGAAATATTTATCAATTCCCATTATTACGTAAACAAACTTAAAAATCCATGTTCCCGTTAATAGTTTCATTCAACTTGTAAACTTAATCTTATAATTGTTTGAACTGTTTATTCTCAAATACGAGTTCCTTGCAAAAAAAAAGTAATCCTGTCGTTCGATGTCATCATTTATATTATATAACTATATCTACCTTCGATAAACCAACAGATGGGAACGCTTCGAAAGATAGTTGAGATTCCTCGCCAGTGCGACCTTCCCTTTGTCCTAGCAAGGTCCGTGCGGCCGCCAACGTCGGAACCGACATGCCGTCACCCAGGAACATAACTATATTGCGTGCCTTGCCCTCGATTTTGTTTAATTGAAGACGAGACTTGATCCCAGCCTGAGCCTCATCTACCCAGTATCGAGCAGACTGCTCTGCAGGGTTTCTGGCTGCCGCATCGTGTTGCGACAGTGGCAACAAATCCGGGTGTCGTGTATCAGCGGCACTGGCGACAGCCGCCAACACTGTTGTGATCAACACCAACGGTGACAACAGCATATTGACAATAAACTGTGTCAATGTAACTGCCTGCATACACCTAATATCACTTTTATTCTCTCTATTATCAATACCCTCTAATCATAATTAATGTAATCGCTGTATTTAAAATAGATAAAAGGTAATACCGTGATTTTGTATTTATTTATTATTGTGTAATTACTGCAGATTTATTTACTTTTTTTTTATTATTATTTACCAGTAACGGGAGGACTAAACCTTACTAATATTACAATGAAAAAGTTAATTCATAATCATCAAAGTTAATGTGATATTTTGGTACCTTGACACACAGTATTGAGGACATAAAGAACGTAAACTACTATTTTCACTCAACATATTCTCAAAGTCACTCAATGTCACATTAATACATATATATACATACAAACTTGGATAACAAATAGAGAGAAATCTGGAGCGCCGGCTATATCGGGATACATATTTAAGCATACACCTCGACTGAATGGCAAGAGAGGAGGAGGAGTGGGCTTTTATATACGACGGGACCTTCGTGTACGGGTGCATTCGCATCCACTGTTGAAATTGGAACAGATGTGGCTGGAGGTCTCTTCACCCGGTGGGATACGAATCGCCATAGGAACTATATACAGAACTGAGGCGACGTCGGTATTGGACGCAGTGGATGCACTGAGCGTATATGTAAAAATAGAAGGAGCGCAAGGGGAAGATGTACAGTCAAAAATGAAAAATCAACAGAGGGACGCCTCAAGGCTCTATCATCAGTCCGTTATTGTTCATATTGTACACTGTAGATTTGCACAAACAAGTGGAAAGCTGTAAGCTACACTTATATGCTGATGACACACAGTTGTACTTCTAATTTTTTTTTTTTTTGCAAGTGACATCGACAAGGCCATTGAACTAATTAACAAGGACCTTGATAAATTATTTAAGTGGGCGGCGTGTAACAAACAATCTGATTTTGAATCCTAAGAAATCGCAATATATAGTGCTGGGTCCCCGACACCAGTGTGACTTGGTGATAAAACACAATCCTAATATTGTAACAGATAGCCAACCAGTGGAAAGAGTGAGTATTGTAAAGAATCTTGGGCTCATGATGGATAGCGCTTTGCGATACGAGGAACATGTAAACATGAAAATATTTTTTTTTTGTACATTAACTGAAAGTGCTTTATGGGTTGAGGGATTGCCTATCAGAAAAAATAAGAGTGACACTTGTAGAAACACTGGTTTTGTCACAATTCAACTACTGTGACACAGTGTATGGGCCTAGACTTCTAGCGCGAACCGCTCACTCCGTGCAACGGGTTCAAAACGCATGCGCACGTTTCTGCTACAATATTCCGAGGCGAACACGAATAACTCCTATTTTAAATAAAAAAGGAATATTGAAAATGAACCTAAGGAGACATCTACATCTTGCATGCCTGGTGTATAAAGTGATACAAAAAAAGAAACCAGAGTATCTATGTAACAAACTCACCTGTATGAGAGATTTACATCCCCTTAATACACGTAACGAGAGTGGCAGCGGGTTACCATTACCTATACATAGGGAGTCGGCAAACAGAGGAAGCTTTAAGTTCCCCGCTGCTAAAATTTGGAACAATCTGCCTCCGCCTCTCCGCGAGGAAATGTCCCAGCTCTGTTTCAAATATAGACTAAAACGAATACTATTGGAGAAACAAAATAAAGGAGAACATAACTATCGGTAGTATCTGATCCTCAATATGATATTTTACTTATGTGTGTATGTATATGTATGAATGTATATGGATAAATGTATGTGTGTGTGCATATATATATATATATATATATATATGTGTGTGTGTGTGTGTGTGTGTGTGTGTGTGTCCGTATGTGTCAAATATATGCACAAATGAAAACTACTTTGCTATTTTTTTTTTATCTATTAGTATATTTGAGAAATAATTCTTGTAAGAAACAATTTACTGTGGTACTCTGCATTTTGGTTATGTTTTGTTAAGAGAGGGATTGCCAGCGCTGTGCAGCTGTTCACATTGCGCTGGGACACTCACAGCATCAGCTGAGCCGGTTCCTTTTGCCTAGTAGGGGACACTTCTTGTATATGTATTTTCTATATTTTATATTGTAATTGTATGTTTACTGGCAATAAATGTTTCTATTCTATTCATATGCTATATATATATCTACGTCATTACATAGAGTGACCCCTTCGCGAGATGTAGTGACGATCTTAAAAGAATTGCAGAGAATCACTGAATGCAAATTATACAGGCTAATGATGGATAAGTTTGTCAATCATTTAGCATTAGCATAGCATTCAACTGCGCTAACAACAAATACCAACCATTCTGACTTGAAGTACCTCGACCTCGGAACGTAAAGGAGGCGGTGTTCTACGCACACCACCTCCTTTACGCTCCTCTTTTTCCTACGTTTTCTTCTGGCCTGTGTGTGCGTACTGGAAGGGATCGCAAATGATCCAAAGTATGTAGAGTCACATAGAGACTTTTTGTAGAAATATGAGGAAGATCGATGTTCAACAGTGAACGATGGATTAGTTGTAATAATAATGATTACAATATCAGTTATAAATAGATTGAATATACTGGAAAAAAAATTAAAGAAATCAGATATGATACTATCATTGTAGTTAATAAATAGAATGATAGTATATTATTTACACCCCTTAAATTAACATAACTTTAAACATAATAATAATTGTTGTTCCGCATGGCGTCATCTTATCTCCTCTACTTTTTGCAGTTTTTTTTTATCTGTATCTACTCATGAATAAATAGGGCGGACGTCTGTACTTTATAATAAGATTTGTGAAACCTACATTCTAGCAAATATTATCAATATACATATCTATCTATCTATCAGCTTCATACAAGTGGAGCCTTTAAATGGATAAACGGGTTCTTATGCAATTTTAGGATTCTGTACCAAAATGATACAACTTGTCTTAATTAATCAGATTTAATTTGTACCAGAAAACTATTTAAAATTCTTATAAAAGCTACATTACATTATGTTTGTTACGATTGCTATATTATATATGCATTAGATATTGTACGTTTGGTTAGCTTTTTTTTTTATTTCATATACATATGTATATTTCCAAAATATTTTTATAATTATAGTTTTACCAAAATTTTTTAATTTTACTAATTTCAGCAATTTAATTGCTAAAACATTTATATGTTATTTTATAAATGCTAACGTTGTAAAATATGGACTCCAATAATGAAGTAAAATTAAGTAATCTCATAACAATAAATAGATATACATTATTTACAAAAATAATGCCTAATACGATTTAACTACCAATACAAAATAAGAACAGTAACAATAGTATATTGTAACTGCTTCTATCGTGTTCGGAGGTGCTCGGCCATCTCGGATCGTTCCAGTGCAATCTTAAAGAACAATTGACCTTCATTATCATGTTCATGAGATCGTTGACGTCTTCAATTTAAACTAGCTATACAGTCTACATATATATTTTACTACCTACTATAAAATGAGAATTACGTCCTAATTTTTTGTTTACAAATACTTCATAACAATATATAAGGAAAATATCATAAAATTACATCATCGATGCAAATTCAGAGCATTTAACATATACAACAGGGTAACTATTAAAAATATAGAGCTGTAGGATGCGTGCGTGGCGGCGTTGCAGTAGTGCAGGCCGGGCCCGATGCAGGCGGCGTAGGCCATGAGGTGCGGGATGCGGCTCTGCTCGTACAGGCCCGTGAACAGCGCGTGGTGCGGCCCGCGCGCGAACACCGCCACGTCGTCGCCGCCGTGCGTCTCGTCCTCCAGCGGCACCTCCGCGTGCGTACGCCACCGCAAACTACCTGCAAACCAAACATTCATATCATAAGTACTGATTCATTCAATTCATGAGTATATTTATTTTTCACATATATGTATGGTGTGGACCTATTAACTTTACTCTCTTATTACAAGAGGTATATATACGTACTGAAATTTCGTTATGAAATTAATTCAGCTTGTTTGTCATACTGAGTTACATAAAAATTAATCTGTTATTTCCCACACTTAGAAGATTGTGATTTATTACTTTTTTTTTTTTTTTTTAATACCATTTACTTATTAATATACTATAATGATATTTTGGCAATGGAGCCGGAATAGTAACCGCATTCCGATTCGAGTACTATTTATCTGAATCGAATTTGACTATACTATCGTAGAAACTGATAAACAGTGTGATAATGAAGTCATTTGAAGGTAGGATTTTTTTTTTAATATTTAATACATGAATATAATGATAAATTCAAGCTGGTTATTAAATGATTTTTTATTTAATATGAAATAACATCTTACCGAAATTTTCTTCTGTAGTAACGTCAACACGAGCTCCATTGTCATGTGGTCGTGCACCAGGTCCATTGGTGTACGAGACTGTCATGTACGGTATACCATCGTCTCCTACTTCATTAGAACGCCCAATTATGCTATTGCCACGTGGTGAGTAGCCATTGATGGCCATGACGTGTGAATGATCAGAGGTAACTACTATCAAGGAATCTTCCTCGGAGAGCATCTCGGTGGCGCGTTGCACCGCCGCGTGCAGCTGGATCGTCTCGTCGAGCGCCAGGTGCGCGTAGTTGTCGTGGTGTCCGTGGTCAATGCGGCCGCTCTCCACGAACAAGAAGAAACCCTTTTCATTGCGGCTGAGGGATCGTATGGCAATTTCAGTAAGCTCAGTGAGGCTCGGCTCTGTAACATTATTCGCCTCCAAATGGTACTGCATGTGGTCACCCTCAAAGAGCCCCAGGAGATAATCTGGTGGTGATTGTGATAAATTCATTAATTGTTCCCTATTCCACACGTACTTAAAGTCAACATTTTGCGACTCTTTAGAAGCTTGCCACTCTTCGATTAGGTTGAGACCATCTGTTCTGAGGCCTTGAGTGCCCTCTTCATCAAATGTCGTATTTGGTAAAAATTCACGCCTTCCACCACCTAAAATGACCTGCAAGTAATACATATAGTTAAAAAATCGTTTAAATTTTTTTTTTTTTTTTTTTTTTTTAATAGATGTAATACTCAGGTGTAATAAATAGTTTACCTTAAACTGATTGCCTGGATACGAATGTACCAGTTGATGTGCAATATCACGACATAGTAATGGATCTTGTCCATCTAATAACACTTCCAAATCATTTTCCCAATTGCGATTGGCTATCTTGGCATAAGCGCCGGCCGGTGACGCGTGCGTAATACGTGTTGTAGTCACAATACCTGCATAGAAAATATTTACACTAAAACACAACTTATCTCTGAAAGAGATCTCTTTCAGACAACCTAAGTGGCACAGGAAGTAGTGAGTAGACAGCACTAGTGCAATACAGAAATAATTTTGAATTATCAAGTTCATGAGATGTATTTAGGTAATATTAAAACAATTCAAACAATGAAGCAGTTTGATGAGGAGTTGATTGTGCAGTGCAGCCACATACCGACGTCGCGGCCGTCCTGCAGCGCCCACTCGGCGATGGAGGCGACATGGGTGCTGTTGTCGAGCGACGCGACGCAGTCCCGGCGCGGCACCGCCGCCGTCAGTCCGATCATACCGTAGTTGTTCTTCACGCCGCACAGGTACGCGGTCGCCGTGCACGCCGAGTCTGCTATTTGATGGTTCACACAGTACGTCTGAAATATAAAATATTGTATCTGAAACATTCATTCCTTTCCCGTGGGTGTATTAAGAGGCGACTAAAAGAACTTACACCAGCAACGATCATTGTAAAATATCACTAAATCCTTACTGCAGTTGCCAACCTGCCTACCAAGAGTAGTAACTTCTGGACTACTGGAAAACTTACCTTATGGAGGATGCCTATGTTTAGCAGTAGACAGTTAATGGCTGGTACGATGATAATAATGATAACGATGTGACTAACTCATGAGCTCGTATCGGAAAATCAAAAAATAAATACTGATAAAGTAACAGGTATTTCCAATAATTCTTTACCAGTAGGCACGAAGATGTGGCTTACATGATGGTAAGCGATGGTTGCCCATGGACACCCGCAACAACAGAGGAAAGCAGGTGTGCTGCCTGACTTTTAAAAAAGAATATGCTCTTTTCTTGGAAGTAACGATGATAATATAGTATGTATGATGTCAATTACCTTAGCTAATCCTACAGTGGGGAATTCTTCGAAAGACAATTGTGATTCCTCGCCAGTGCGGCCCCGATTCTGTCCCAGCAGCGTCCGCGCGGCCGCCAGCGTCGGAACCGACATTCCGTCACCTAGGAACATGACCACGTTCCGCGCCACGCCGTCGCTCTTGTCGTGTTTGACGCGAGCCCGGATCCCGGCCTGCGCCTCCTCCACCCAGTACTGGGCGGTGCGCTCGGCGGGGTTGATAGCGGCGGCCGCGCGAGCCGACAGTGGCGGCGGGTCCGGGTGACGGCGGCTCGAGACGCTCGCCCAGCACGACACAAGTGTTATTAACACTAACGGTGGCAGCCGCATACTAGCTGAAACATATGATTCAATGGCTGTCGTATTGGTAATAGCAAGTTTTTATTCTCTTCGCCATTATCTAATCTTATGAAAATATGAATAATAATTATTAATTTCTTATGATTAGATAATATCATAACGTTAATTTATTCATTATGGGATTAGACTGTCGTCAATTAGTTATCATCAAAGATTCCTGATATCATTCTAATATGGATAATATTTCTGAGATATATTTTAAAGTAGTAAAGTTGGATTTACAACAAAATATGTGAGTGGATAAAATTACTATTTTAACAATCAGCCATCGTGGCTGTAACGCGTCCACGAGGCCACGTTCCTCTTGGAGGTTCTCGTCTACGATCACAACCAAATCACTAATATGTAAGTTACGATCTCTTCGACCATTCAGACGAGGCTGCATTGTAGGTGATATTTCTTTCACTCACCGATTCCAAAAATGATCAACCAGTTGTAGCGCCTTCTTCCAATCTGCTCTTCAGACTAATTCGCTGTTTTCTAGCACTCTGGCTGTCTGATCTGATTGAATGACGAACCGATCAAAAGAGAAACGTTGTTAAAATTTCTTCGCTATCGGATTCAACCGAGACATAAGTGAGAACTCAAGAGTTAACAATTGCTTCGGAGTCGGTCAACAACGTAAGTAGTACCTACTCTTTAGGTGGCCTTTCATGTAGTGTAGCTTTTAATAGAACTTTCACGCAGCAGAAAAGCCTCTAGGAACAAAATTGCGTTCGATATTATAAGCCGTATGTTGATGTATTAATGTAATTAAACAATAGGTTTAAATGAAAATAACTATAATAAAGAAAACTACAGAAGTCAGACTACGAAAGCGACAAAAGTAAAGTAAGAATTGTAAAAGTATTAAAATATAATAAAAGTAAAATCTATAAAAGAACTAAGAAGTGCAACACCGAGATAATCCTCCCCATAGCTCGCTAAATAACTTTAAGCTTTTGCATACCGGCGACCATGTGGGACTATATTTCAGTTCTGTAAGTCATCACTAACAACACATACTGGTTATTTTATATTACCTAAGTGTAAAAATAACAAAAATAGAAAGAATTGAAGTAGTTAAATTTCTTGGTGTACATATTGATTCACACTTAAAATGGAAGTACGAGATGAACAGTATAGAAAAAACAATAAGTTCGGCCTGTTATGATATCAGAAGTCTGAGGGATGAAATTAGCATTGAACAACTGAAACTGGTACATCATGCGCTAACCGAATCAAAACTAGGAGGGGAGGGGAGCGTAGGGGAGTGGAGTGGAGTGGAGTGGAGTGGAGTGGAGTGGAGTGGAGTGGAGTGGAGTGGAGTGGAGTGGAGTGGAGTGGAGTGGAGTGGAGTGGAGTGGAGTGGAGTGGAGTGGAGTGGAGTGGAGTGGAGTGGAGTGGAGTGGAGTGGAGTGGAGTGGAGTGGGTGGGTGGGTGGGTGGGTGGGTGGGTGGAGTGGAGTGGAGTGGGTGGATTGGGTGGGTGGGTGGGTGGGTGGGTGGGTGGGTGGGTGGGTGGGTGGGTGGGTGGGTGGGTGGGTGGGTGGGTGGGTGGGTGGGTGGGTGGGTGGGTGGGTGGGTGGGTGGGTGGGTGGGTGGGTGGGTGGGTGGGTGGGTGGGTGGGTGGGTGGGTGGGTGGGTGTGTGGGTGTGTGTGGTGGGTGGGTGGGTGGGTGGGTGGGTGGGTGGGTGGGTGGGTGGGTGGGTGGGTGGGTGGGTGGGTGGGTGGGTGGGTGGGTGGGTGGGTGGGTGGGTGGGTGGGTGGGTGGGTGGGTGGGTGGGTGGGTGGGTGGGTGGGTGGAGTGGGTGAGTGCAGTGCAGTGCAGTGGGTGGGTGGGTGGGTGGGTGGGTGGGTGGGTGGGTGGGTGGGTGGGTGGGTGGGTGGGTGGAGTGGGTGGAGTGGAGTGGGTGGGTGGGTGGGTGGGTGGGTGGGTGGAGTGGGTGGGTGGTTAGGTGGGTGGGTGGGTGGGTGGGTGTTAGGTGGGTGGGTGGGTGGGTGGGTGGGTGGAGTGGGTAGGTGGGTGGGTGGGTGGGTGGGTGGGTGGGTGGAGTGGGTGGGTGGGTGGGTGGGGAGGAGTGTAGGGGTGGGGAGGAGTGGGGAGGGGAGGGGAGGGGAGGGGAGGGGAGGGGAGTGGAGTGGAGTGGAGTGGAGTGGAGTGGAGCGGAGCGGAGTGGAGTAGAAAAAAAAAAAAAAATAAATAAATAAATAGCACGACCGAATTGCGGTTCTTGCGTATATTTAAAGAACACTACTAAGATTAATAACAACACCGATCACTAGATGTCGCTACAAGCAGGTTAGAAGGCGCTATAGTTACTCCTCGTGGCACAATAATAAATCAATCTGAACAAGCAAGACCTCCAGTTTAGGTTAGGTTAGGTTAGTTTAGGTTAGGTTAGGTTAGGTTAGGTTAGGTTAGGTTAGGTTAGGTTAGGTTAGGTTAGGTTAGGTTAGGTTAGGTTAGGTTAGGTTAGGTTAGGTTAGGTTAGGTTAGGTTAGGTTAGGTTAGGTTAGGTTAGGTTAGGTTAGGTTAGGTTAGGTTAGGTTAGGTTAGGTTAGGTTAGGTTAGGTTAGGTTAGGTGAGGGTAGGTTAGGTTAGGTTAGGTTAGGTTAGGTTAGGTTAGGTTAGGTTAGGTTAGGTTAGGTTAGGTTAGGTTAGGTTAGGTTAGGTTAGGTTAGGTTAGGTTAGGTTAGGGTTAGGTTAGGTTAGGTTAGGTTGGGGTGCTGGGTCGGAAAACCTCCAAGAGTGCCCTGGCTCATTGTACGGTCACTTGTCCTGGTGCGGATACGTCCGGCGGGAACGGTGGCTGACAATGGCTGGGGCCTGGTGCATCCTGGGCAACGGCGGTAAGTGACTTCTCGCTATTTAGAGATCTCACTTACCGACGGCTAATCTTCCGACGCCGCGGGTGGGACGAGTTCGTGACGCACTATTTGTGTTGCGGATTTGCCTGACTCGCTCTTCGTTTTGTTTCGTCTTTTTTTGTTATTCTTCGTTTTTGTTTTGTTTGTTTTATTTTTGTTTTGATCTTTACTGTCGTCTTTTCTATCTTCTGTTTTCTTTCTGTCGTTTTGTTTTTTCTATCATTTTTCGTTTTCAATTTCCTTTCGCCTTTCACGGGACCTCCCCCGTTAAAAAAGGAAAACATGAGAATGGCCAGTCGCAAAACTGAATTCCCCAGGGCGGTACCGTCGGGAGACGGAGAATCCGCCACCACCGCACCGGTTCAGCCGGGGGTGGTCAGCCCCGTGTATCTGGGGGGGGCAACGGAAGGCCTGAGGGGAGTAGGAGAAGATGTTGTTGTGAGAGGAGAGATAGTGAAGGAGGTGGGACTGGAGACCAAAGTGGTCCCGGTAAGAGCTCGCCGGAGTATGGAGATCGATCCGGCTATGGACGATGAATTGTCCATGCTTGCCCGCGAGATCGACAGCTCACTTTCGCGGTCGACTTCGTGTGCAAGTATGTTATTCAGTGAGGATGAGGACTTTTTGGAGCGTCCTCGCTCCAGGCGCAAAAGGCGCCATTCGAGAAGTGATGAGGAGTCGTCAGTTGTCGAAAGCGACTCACAAACCTCGGCTAAGAGGAAGGGAAAGGCTGGGAAGGCAAAAGCCCCCAGCAGCGCAGAGCAGTTCCGTGTCGCTCTGTACGAAGGAGGAAACACCGTTCCGCCCAAGGCTATTTCACCTAAGGCCACGGGCCGATATGCAGGACTGTCGCAGGCGAGGGCCGACCTTGCCGAATATGTCGATAGAGAAATGGAGAAAGAGGCCGCAGAGGCCGTTGCCGGCACTTCGAAACCAGTGACTCGCCATTACAACATATTCCCCGTGGAGGAAATTAAGCGAGCAGACGTCGTCGGAGCCGAAATGGATGAATGTGCCAGAAACGTTTTGGAGGCCGTCAAAAAATCTGGCCACTTGAAGGGTACGATTATAAAGACGATCAAAGAGAATATAACGACCATCCGCAGAAACACGGAGTGGTTCGTTGACCGGACGAACACGGCCGAATGCGCTGATCTGCGCAAAGACAACGCCCAGTTGGAGGCTGAATTGAAGGAGCGGCAAATTATGTTGACCGGCATCCGCGAGGAGTCGGTCAGAAGCGCCGTCGAGATGAGGGCCCTTCGCAAGGCAGTCGCTAACGCCCCAAACGCGAAAGAGGTGCTCGAGCTTAGAGCCGAGAGGGAAAACCTTGAGCGTCAGGTTCAGTCATATGTCGACGAGACCATAGACCTGAAGAGGAGATTGCTGGAGCAGAGCGTTGAGCTCCGCAAGCTTAAAAACCAGCTACAAGAGCTGCAAGCCTCGTCAGTGCCGCAGCGTGCGCCTGGTGAGGCTACCAAGGACAAGACATGTGCTGCACCGGCCCCTATACAGCCGGTCGCGGCTTCTCCAGATGAGAGCCTGGAGGCGAGAATTGTACGGCAGATCGGAGACATGTTTAATGTCCGACTTGCCGCAATTGAGGAACGGCTCGCACAACCCGGCAAGAGGAAGCCGGCACGCAATGCGAAAGCCGCAAGGAGTGCCTCGCAATCCGCTCCGCGAGCACCGAAGGCACCAACCCAGAGTAGGGACCGGGCAACTCAACCGGTTCCAGCTGGCGATCCGGGCACGAGTCGCGCCCCGCCGCCGTCCGCTAGTACAACAACGGAGCAGTGGACGACGGTCGTTCGGCGCGGCAAGCGTCGGAAGAAGACCCCAGCGAAGGAGGCCCCCGCCAGTCAGGCGGCACAAGGGAAGACGGCGCCTGCCACGGCACCGGCGCCGAAGCCAAAGAAGAAGAGGAAGAGAAGATTCCGTCTTCCGCGCTCGCAGGCAGTCGTTATCACTCTGCAGCCCGGCGCGGAAGAAAAGGGTATAACCTATGCGACAGTGTTCCGAGAGGCCCACAGCAAGCTCTCACCGACCGAACTCGGAATCACCGATGCCAGGTTCAGATTAGGCGCCACAGGGTCGCGTATACTGGAGGTGCCAGGCGCCGATTCAGGCGTCAAAGCAGACCTGCTGGCCAATAAGCTGGCAGAGATCCTGCCGGAGGGGCCGTCAAGATTTCCAGGCCGATCAAGTCGGCTGAACTGCGAATAAGGAATCTTGACGACTCGGCTACACCTGCCGAGGTCATTGCCGCGGTTGCGCGGGAAGGTGGTTGCGACGAGGCCCTCATCAAGACGGGGGAGATCCGTCGCGCTCCCTCGGGAGTCGGCTCCATATGGGTTCGCTGCCCAGTAAGTGCTGCCAAGGCCCTGTCCAAAGCCGGCCGGGTAAAAGTGGGCTGGGTAATGGCTCGGGTTCAGACATTAGAACCGAGGCCCATGCGGTGCTACCGCTGCTTGCTCTCTGGGCACGTAGCGCAGTGGTGCACCGCCAGTGTGGACACCAGCGGGGGCGTGTTGTGCTTCCGCTGCGGAAAAGCGGGCCATAAATCCGCTCAGTGTACTGCGCAGT